CCAACATCAGCTCAACTGAACCAAATTGAGCATACATTGTTCTGGAGTGTGCTAAAGTGCAATGTTAATGGCATCATTTTAGCACTTTAATATATTAATGTGCAAAAATAGAATGTACATTTTTTTGCATATTGGAGGTTTACATTACAGACCAGATTTAAGCAAAATTGTCATTTCTGCTGTCCTCTTTGATTTCATACCCATGATTCATCTGATTTTATGATTTTTTGTTGTAATGTGTCTAATTTGATTTGCATTTTATTTTTTGAATAAAGCTTCGAAAAAACAATGCTGTATGAGATGATACTTATGTGATGGCACAGTTCTCTGGTCTTGAGACTAAGGAGGATGTAAGAGTGAAGGAGTTTTATTATCATTGTTCTTCTTACAGAGACTTATCCAGTCTAATCACAAGAAAGAAGACTAAATGAAATCGAAATAAGCCAACAAGAAGATGAGCAGAAATCAAGGGACCAGGAAACCAGAGATTAGTGCTTTCAACTTGTTATTGAGTTTGTGAATGATCATTTTGTTAAGAATGGTCAAGTAGTGTGATTTAGCCAACTTGCATCCCTGTATTCAGAGATGTTAGTAGAAAGAGATATCAGGGATCATGTTTCTATGAATGCTTCTTCATGCACAAAGATCAAACTTTAAGATTACTTCAGGGATGAGGTAGCTTTCTTCCGAAAGAAATCAAGATTGTCAATGTTTGTGTACAGTAATAAAGAGCCAATAGAAGAACATTCTGAATTGAGCAGCTTCATGTTTCTCACAACAGAATAAAAGTGTGCAAAATTGAAAAAGTTATCAAGGAAGAGATCAGCAATGCAGCTAGCCAATTTTTGACCTGGCCTCCCTCCCAAGAAGTGAAACAAGAAAGAGTACTGATACCTGATATGCTGAAAAACTTCTTGCAGACTCTGCTGTCCAAAGACAACAATGCCTCCAAATGAACTGGCTTGTGAAATCAATTTTAGTACTTCTCATGGACGAATCGAAACAATTAAACATCTGCTAATTGGTCTGATAACAAAACATAAGACAGATTAAAAAGAAATGGTGACCTATCTGAACAGACTAGGACATGCAATGTCCTACATTGAAGTCAACAGATTTGAAATGTCTATGGCTGAGGCAGAATTGCGACTTCATTGCCTGCATGGTTTTGTACCTAATTTGGTTGTACCTTCCACATTTGTCACCTTTGTGTTTGATAATTGTGATCACAACCCAGAGAGTTTAGGTGGTGCATCCATGCATTGCACCAGTGGAATTATAATTCAGAAGCAAAATAATCAAATTTGTGTTGTTAATCAGTCCAACATGGGTGAATCCGCATCGACAGGACATTCACAGTACTTTTTTTTCAACCTGTTCCAAGTGAGACAACGCCTTACTATCACCCTAAAAAGCGACCTACTCCATCAATGATCAAAGAGTTTGAGAGAGACAGCAGCAACTTGTGTGATACAATGTCAAAGGGGTGACCTGATTTGGCTTTCCTGTCATAAAAGTGTAAAGGAGGAATCCTCAGTGCAAATTGTGCCAAGCTGGTCAGGGTTCTTCTGCGAAATGGAACCAGAGGTTATCAAAGAGCCTCATAAAGTGTTCTACTTGCCCACAATTAATGATTCTCAAACAATATTTTCAACTGTTTTTGAGGTTCTCAACCAGGTGAAAGAAAAAGCAGAAAACATTGGACTAACTAGCTCAGATTTAGTTTTGGACCAAGAAATCTACACAAAGGCTCTAGAGATTCTCAACAATACCCAGAACGCAGACCTCAAAAATTTCATTAATTTACCAATGGGAGGATTTCATACCTGTTGCATTTTCATGGCAGTGATTGGCAAGCTAATTCAGGTCAGCAGGTCTGGGAGATATCATCATAGAATCTTGCTTGGTCGGCTCACATTCCACTGACAGTGTTCTGAAAGGCAAATATTACAGTCGTGGAATGCAAGTGTTGAAAACCGCCTAGGAGGCACTAATGAGATAGAAAATAGATTCATTTTCTCAATGGATGCATGACAATCAGCAGAGATAAAGTCTCTTATTGAGCAGAGGAGCCTAAACAACATATCAGTTGACAAATTCACTGAAGTGTTCACTTTATGGGAGCATTTCAAAGATCTTATCCACAAATAGAACAATTTTGGCAAAATTTTATTGACATGGTCCAAACCCTTCTGGACTATGTCAAGTTGCACAGGTGATTGGGAGCACCATCTTTCTAGCATGGAGAAAGTGTTGGTATAGTTTCATGCATATGACAGACCAAACTACAGCAGAGACTTCACATACTGCTAGATAGATCAGAACAAGCTGCATGTCAATCATCCAGTAATCCATGATGAGTTTGTCAAAGGGAACTTTGCAGTTAAAAGGTCACCAGGAAATTTCAACATGTTGCCTCCTGATCAAGTGATCGAGCAAACTATGAACAGAGATGAAAAGGGGCACGGTGGTATCATTTAGTACAGTACATCTACAGTGCAAAGATGGGTGCTAATTAACCACAGTTATGTCACCATGAAACAGGATTTCAAAAATGAGTTAGGATTGGATGGGAGTGAATCAGCTCTGAAAGATCTTGGAAAATCCAGAATTGCATTTGATGTTGTTACATTCAATTTGATAAGTGAGTGGATGATTCCTTTCTCCCACAGCAATACTTTTATAAACATTTCGTCTGGAGTGGCTGCTATTAAGGTAGTTTGTGTTGACTTACTGCAAGCAGAAGAAATTGGAAAGAGCTGTTTGAAATCTTTTGTTGAGATGCAACTTATTAGAGGCACCCAGTCATTTTACGAGCCCCTCAAGAAGAACAAATTGTCTACTTTTGATGAATTGATCATCAAAAAGAAGTTGAGAACTAATGAAGGTTCGGTTGCATTGAGAGCAGAATGGAACGACTTTGCACAATTGCTTGTTATACAAAGGTGCAGAAGCATTGATCTTGAAGAGGTGTTGAAGTTCGAGCTTTCACCATATCCTCTGTCACTGTGCCATCCTGATGGTACCATGACAAAAACTGAAGTCAAAGCTGTTTGCTTGTCTTGCAGAGAAAATACCTCAGCTGGCAAGCGTACCACAAAACACGATATGGTGCTATTTCACAATCTGCCAAAAACAATTGAGACTTTGGTGAAATCTCCAACTATGTAATTCGAAATGTGCTTAGTGGAATTTGAAGGGTTGTCTTTATTCCAACCAATCACTATCTCCCTGATTCCATCAAATCTTTGGAAAGGGGTCGCTGGTCAACATATGGATCTATCAGGGTGTCAGTTCTTAGACAGGAAGAGGTTTTGCCAAATACAAATTTCTAATTTTTGCAGCATCCACAAAACAAATTAGATCTCATCGACTTCATAATGGATGACTTGAAATCAACTGAGAAACACAGAATGTTGAATGGTAAAAAGTTCAACATAACGTTCAAGGAGAGAGCATTTTGTATCTTGCCCAATGAAGAAAGGTCATTCATGTCAAGTTCCTGACCTAATGTTAGCCCAAGAAGAAGCTGACACAAAGATATTTTTGTGCGCAAAATATGCATCTTCTTTTGGATTTGATCATGTTAGAATTGCTACAGTGGACTCCGATGTTGGGGTTCTATCATTATACTACAAAGAATTGATCCAGGCTAACTTGCTACTGGACTTTGGTTCAGGATCCAAAGTGATCTACAATATTGTGACAGTGCTGACATATCAGCTGAATTGGCCAAAGCTCTACCAGCTCTTCATGGATTATCAGGTTGTGATTCTACGAGTAGCTTCAAGAGCACAGAAGAAATGCCATCAAGTACTAAAGTCTGACCAACACTTTATTGAGGCAGTATGCTTACTTGGAGAGAGTACAGCCATCCCAAATGTTGTGCTGGAAGTCCTAGAGGAATATGTATATCTTCTATATGGGATAACAAATGAGACTAGTGTTGATGTTTTACATTACAAACACTTCACCAACAGAAGGAACTTTCTAACTCTTCAACAAAGGATGCCTTGTATTATCACATCAAACGAGCAAATAACCAAGTGGACACTTCATACCAGAGGACTGATCAAAATGGCAATGGATGGAAATTATCTGGCTATGGTAACATAGATTGAATGGGGATTGAAGAAGCCAGCACCCAACTCAATCTTGGAGTTTGCTTTTTGTGATTGCAAAAGAAACAGATGCACTGGTGGAGCTTGTGGCTGTTTCAAACTGAGTCTTGTAGCAATCTTCGTAAGTGTGAAAACTGCAAAAATGTTGTCAATGAGGATGTCAACAGTATTAGCCCTTATGACAGTGACTCTGAAGCTGAATTAGATGATACTTATGGAGATTTAGGATTGTAATGATATGAGTTCATGAAAATCATTTTTTCTGTGTGTACCTCTGTGATATACTCTTACATTCGAGTCTGCATGTTTTGTTCAGTAAAATACAACCTAACAAGTTTTTGTTACAGGTATATACATCATTGATTTTTTTTTTTTTAAGCTTTGTTCAAATATTAAAATGAAAGTCAAATTAGACACCTAGTGACAAAAAATCATAAAATCAGAATAATCATGTGCATAAAATCAAAGAGGACAGCAGAAATGATGACAGTTTTGCTTAAATCTGGTCTGTAATGTACCCTCCAATATGCAAAAAAAAATTAAAAAAATGTACATTCTATTTTTTAACTTTAATATATCTTTATCATATGAAGATTGCATTTTAACACATTCCAGAACAATATAAGCCCAATTTGGTTTGGTTGATCTGATGTTGGAGGTTTTAAGCCCATTTTAGTGATTTTTGGATATGTGTCTTCTGGTCTGCTAAATACACACTCATAAGTAATTCTGACAGGTCAAACATTTCTTTTCTGATCTGATATAGGTAACAAATTACCCCTCCAGATGTATGAGTTGACACCCACCCACCCCTTTCCTGGAGCCTGTACTATATGGCCATTTTATTTATTGTAATATTTCTCTTACTTTTCTTTTCAGGCAAGATGTCTGCTCAGGCTCAGCGGGAGCAAGAAGCTGAGATTGAAGATGAGACATTTGGCCCTCTCCCAATTGCAAAACTCGAAGTAATTTTATATTAGATTTTTCTTTTGATTTTTAACAGATGTGTATATATTTTTAAAATTCAAAGGACTCCTTCTGAAAATGTAGCTTTTAATGTTTTTAAGTTTTGCAGGTTAAAAAAAAAGACATTAAAATGCTTTTGAGTAATGGGGATGAACATTTCACAGTTTAAGTAAGGCCCCATCCCCTCCTGATGATTGCTTGACATCATCAAACATAAAAATACAATAACAAACATTATTATAAGCTTATAAAAGTATTAATATACAAATTCCAAGAAGAACATTAAACAGAGGAATGATGAAGCCACACTAGCAGTTGTGTGCCAGCATAGTCAGAAGGCCTCATGAAAAATATATACAAACTATTAAACACCTTCCTTGCCAGATGATTTTGTTTCTATTTCTTAAACCCTGGAACAATCATTAATGATCAAAAGTATCTGTATCTGTTGCAGGATAAACTAGTACAAAAGAAAATACCAGAATATCATAAGGTTAAGGTCACTACATTAGAATAGTCGGGCAACAGCCCAGACTTAAATCCCATAGAAAATTTGTGGGATTACATGAAGAAATCAGTTACAGACAAGCAACCAGCCACTACCAAGAGAGTTGTAGATGCTATCAAGGATGTCTAGACCACTGTGATTTCAGCAGAATAATGTTAGGGTCTCATAGCCAACATGCCTTATTGTATTGAAGCAGTTATCAAAACAAAAGATGCCTATACAAAAAACTAGCTTATATTGAAATTATAGAAAATAAACTGCTTTTAATAAATTTCAAGAATTGAAGTGAGTACCAACTTTTATTTTTATGCTGTTGATACTTTTGTTTTTATTTAAAAATGTTGGATGGTCTTTAAATTTTGGTGTCAACTATATTAGGTTATTAGCAATAATTATTTAGTTCATTAGTCAAAATTGGTTTTGAGTCCAAATTGTTGGCAACAATGGCTCTCCACCACTTGCTGTCCATTATGACTCTCAGCAACGTTTTTCTATTTACTATCTGTTCTTGGATTTATAACTTTATAACTTTTTAAAACTTTAATAAAAATAAATACTTTACATTATTACAATAATATTATCTATATAATTCTCAAAATGTATATGTGTGATCGGATGTTGTTTATGTGTTTCCATGATTTTCATCTGATTTCAATGAATTTTTTTTTGTTTGATAAATAATCCTTCAGTGCCAGTTTGAGTCCAAATTACACATTCCTCTTCTCTTGGCCAAGCATTCAATCTCAAGTGAGGTTGCCTTTCTGTTGCATAAAGCCTACTACAGTTTTAAGGCATTGCTTTCATTGTCGTTTATAGCCGTTCCCAATTTAAATTTTTTTTATCGTTCTGCCAGTTTTCTAAAGTTATTCGAGCTTAGTGATCCCTGTAGCTTTACAGTGTTCTCTTCTGGTATTTGCCCACACATTCCATTTGACAATTCACACTTGCCTAAGATATGCCACCAAAAAAAAGAATTTGCCTACGTTGCAAAACTGCTGTCGCCAGGTCTGCCATGTGAATAAGAGATAACGAATCATCTTTAGAACCTTCAGTTTGCCTGTTTCAAAATGCCTCTCTCAAAATACCTCTTGGAATGCTTAAATTAGAGCCACTGAGTCTGAAGATCAGTGTAATCATCAGCTTTCCAGAAGAATATACCTGAATGCTTCTGCGTGCGAGGCTGAAAATGATTATCAAAGGACTCAACGGCTGAGGAGAAACGCCTCTTTAACTGCTGCTGTGTGTAAGGCTGAAACAAGATTGAGAACACAAAAACGGCACTTTTCATGGCCACTCCCATTCAAATTGTTAATTCCCCATTTGGAGATGTGCCTCAGTTGCACCCATTTGTTACTAATATTGATTTTCTGGCTGACTTTAAACTTAAACTTCTCCAAGTGAACAGTAAAAATACCCAATAATGAAAGACCTGGTTGAAGATGGGTTATACTGCTAGTATTAAACTATAATTTAAAAAATGGGTAAATAATTTAAATTATTTGGATATCACTAATAATTTACTATTTCATTTCTGAGATGAGTAAATGTCAATATACATTGATTAAAAAGTACACTAATAATTTTTTTTGTAGATCCTTGGGTTGCTATATTTGGTCATATATCCATTTAGCAATGAGTTGAGATATATAATTTAGGATTTTTCTTTGCACTTTCTCAAAGAATGACTATTTTCCTCTAGAATTTTCTGATGTAAATATACTGCATCATTGTCTGTAGGTTTGCAGTGAGTGACAAAAATACAAGTGTAAAATGCCAAAGGTTATTTTCATATTCAGTTTAAAAAAAAAAAAAAATCAATTGAAAGTATTTTGTATATATTCATTTTTTTTTTTTTTTTTCATCTTTTTCTGTCAGAATTAACTTTTAAAAATATCTTGCTGAAAACACACAAGCTTGAATAAATTAATGCAATTAACTTTTGCTTATTTTTTATTGTACAATAAAGATAATAAAAAATATACTCGTTAGCCTTAGTGTTGCAAATATAATCACACTCTCGATCATTTGCCATAGAGTGATAGTTAATAAACTAGACTTATAAGCCATAAAAGAGTAAAAAGAACATGAAAAGTCTAGACGTTAGTATAGAAACTGCCATCTTGCCTTGGTAAACTAACCAATTACTGATTTCCCACCCTAAAATATTTGATTTATAAACTAAGAATGCATTTATAGATCTATACATTTATTTAACTGTTAATCTGGGACTAATTGAGGTGTAAACAAAATTGTGATTAGTCATTTACATGTTGATGTATAAAGTAAAAAGGAGCCATAGCCATATAAGCATTATATTATAAAATCAGTCAGTTATACAGGGTGCTTCTGACTTTGTACTAAGCTTAGTTAAAAAAAAAAAAATAATAAAAATTGTCTTAAAAGACAGCCTGGCAGAACATCAATGTGAATTCATTTAAATTGGTGCATTAACAATGTTTAAAAAGAAATTAAAGAATTTTTTTTTAACTGAAACAGACTTTAAACTAGTGATCTTTATGGAAAGTTCAAGAACTGAGTAGGAACTTTCACATTTTTTTTATTATTATTTTAATAAATTTACATCATAACTAGGTGTTATGATCTATAAATTTTAGTTTTACTGATAGTTTAAAATCAATAAACATATCTTTTTGTCATTTGTACCAGGAATGGAAAATTATGTTTTAAACAACAAAAGAAAATAAAATCCAAAGTATTGTTTTTGGAATTGGAAATTAGGTTAAAAATTTTGCATTGCCAGTTCTGATACCCCAAAAAGTTCTGATATTTCTGATTCTGGATTCCAATTAATTGCCACATCACTATTTCTTTGTTTTGGCTTTGTCCATTTCTTAAAATTTTTGTTATTGCACCAACCTTTGTCTCAATTAACAATATGAATTATATACATTACTTAAAAATATTTATCAATCTAACAAAAAATAATTGCATTTTTCTTGTAAAGACCCTTATAGATTTTGTAAACACTTCAAAATTTTTATTTTGTTGATTCTTGAAAAAAACTTGGTTACTCTAGATAATTCTGAAATCTGCATCAAATTTATAAAAAAAAAAACAATCTAACATTGGATGTTTGTTTTACTTGTAATTTTTAAAAAAATTTTCTTTCATTTTTCAGAACCATGGAATCAGTGCAAATGATGTGAAGAAACTGGAAGAATCTGGCTACTTCACAGTTGAGTCTGTAGCTTTTGTCCCAAAGAAAAGTCTCTTAGCAATCAAAGGGATCAGTGAAGCCAAGGCAGATAAAATATTGGTGCGTTTTTGTATCTCTCTGTATATGGATAAAATGTTTTTACTTTTCATTAATGATATTTTTTCTGAATATTTAAATTTACCCACTTAGCTGTATAGTCTGAGACCTGCCTCAGCTGATATGTACATTGAAACACATACATATGCAATTTTAGTGTTGCACTTTTTTGCACCTAAATTCAGCTCCACTACTTCATGTGTGAGCTATGAAAACTTCACAGTTGAACACATTCTTTCCTGCTTTGACTCTAAAATAACTACATGACTGGATATTATGACTGCCATCTGAAATTAAGAAAGAAATCATGAAGTTAAGAAAGAATATGAATACATTATTTATTGTATATGTTTGAAAGGAAAAATTACAATAATATAAAATGTTATTCAGTTGTCTTAAGTAATGAGCAAAAGTGAATTGTTTTTAAATATCATTCTACTTTTCTATAAAAAATTGTAGAAATAAATCTGTGTGCAACATCCTCCTAAGCCCTCTGCCCAACCTAAGACCTGCTTTGAACTCTTGTCTTGTGGCCAGATGTAGTCATTAACTGCTTTCCAACCTCCTTGCAATGTTTGTGTAACAAAAGACAAAATCACCTACCTTGAAAAAGAGTTTGTCTTGTGTGTGGTCTGCTGAAGGAAAAATAAAGAAAATTGTTAGCAAAAACCTGCTACTTTAAGTATCAGAAGAACTATGCTAATGTTCTTTCTTCCCTGACTGGTGTGGTCAATCAGAAAAATCGCTCTGGGAATAAAAGCTGTTGCTTTTGATTAATGAGGACACAATGATTTTTGAGCTTGGTGAGTGAAAGTGTTTTTCCTCTGTTGTGAGTGGAAGGTTGGACTTTTTACCCTGTTTTCAGTACTAATTGGCCTGCAGGACTGTTTACGACTACTTTGCCTTTAGGAATTTTTTTGAACACATTTGCGATTGAACTTATTGTTAGCCTGTGAGATCAATGTGAACTCCCCAGCCACTGGAGTATCATTGGAGATTAAACAATTGAAGATGTATGCTGGTTGCATCCAGTGACTGACACTAGCTGAATTGGATGCAGTGCTAAAAAGCATTAATCTTGCTCTCCAATGACAGGCAGCTGTAGTGAATTTGGTAACTGATGGCATGTGTGCAATGATGGGTTTCTGATACTATAACTGGAAAGGCCCATCTACACACTAAAGCCACAATTGAGATGCTCATATGATGACAGCAGCTCAGCACATTCGTAGAGGTCGTTAAAGAGTACAGATTGTCTGTAAGTGTCCGATTGGTCAAGTCTGAGCACAAACAAACAAACTTGGGTACCACAGCATTGGTTTGACACCATCAAGAAGCAATGTGAACCTTTGAAACATTTGTCTGCTGCCTCCATAGAAGTGAGCCAGATAATTACTGTCCACCACCAGATTAGCTATCCTAGGGTGATGTGGATGTGATACATTTAGGGCCTCCAATTTTCCATTTCAAATTTTCCTTGATTCCGTTTCCACTTTTGGGAAAATTCATTTTTTCCATTTAAGAACACATTCAAATTTTCGTTTTTTAAAAGTATTTAGATTGATTTATAATTATTGATTCATAATATAAAAATCACATTTAAAGTATCGACAGCAATTAACTTGAATCTCAATAATAAATATCTGAATAAAGTCACATTTAAAATTTTACAAAACAGTTATTAAATCATAATAATTGAATCTTTGCAACAAAATATCAAAAAACAAATTAGACATATTAATTCTAAATTTAAATAAAACAACTTATCCCAAGTTGAAATGCTGCTCAAATTTAAAATTGCTAACTTCTTAATTTGGGAAATATCTAATCTTCAAATCTCTTCTCTAAATCTCCATTGTAATACAACATTGCGAGTTGCTTGCTGTTCTCAGGGGTAAGACTTTCATGTTGTTTATTGAGTAAATTTTTATTGAGAAGATGAATGTTCAGCATTTATACTGGTAATAGGCATCCATGTGACCTTATTTGTAATCTATACCAGAAGAGGAAATATGATCTTATTTGCATTCCAAAATGATGGGATATTAAAAGTATTTAGTAAATCATTTTGGTAATTCATATACATTTGGAATTCTTCAAGATCAGTAGAAGGACATTGCAAGTCCTTGATGGCTACAAAACTGTCTCTAAATCATGGCCTATATAGAGTAGCTGTATAGGATCAAACAGGTGAGCTGCCTTGTAAAAGCTATACACATGGTGGGTATCCAGGTATTTATTCAGTTTCAAAAAAATGTACTGAAAATATCTTGGAATTTTGAGAACACTCTTTACCTCTCTGTTTTTTAGTTCAGAGAGATGATCATCAATTTCTAGGCCAAATGTTGATATTTTTTTTATGTACCAGTATGCAAATACTGTTTTACATCCTCCATCATGTATATGACACATGCAAGCAGAGACTTAGTTTCTTCTAAGTTTGTTAAAGCTGTTATTAAATTAGTGCAGTTCTCATAAAAATCTGATTTAGGTGCAAATTATGGTAAGAGGCCTGATGTACTTGACCATCATCTACTAATTCTAGAATCCTAGCTTCTTAGCTTCATCTGTTGCTGTGAACCATAGCAATAAATTGCAAGGCATTAACTGTCGAAATAAAACTTATATGAACAGTCAAATTTCCCCATCTGTCATGTTTTAACTTTCATTTTTGAGAACGCAATTTTTCCCAATGTCTAGGCTGATCTGATCTAATAATTACGATTCCATTAGTTAGTCGGTCTTGAAATAGAAGAAACAATGTCATTACATTTAATGATTTTTAACTAGTTTGAAGCCTGCATCTTCAGTGATACATTGTTGAAAATGGCTCATGATGGGATAACTGACAAACTTTGAATGGTCATATCTTCATTGCTAATTGAGCTTCCAAGATAAATTTGGTAACATTGGTTTATCAAGTCCTATATACCTGTATTGAAAATTAAATAAATTGAAAATAAATTTTAATTTGGGATATTTAGTATGATCCTTCATCTCACTCCCCACTATTGTTTCATGTCAGGCAATTCTTAATGGTGGTGGTGGTTGGAATCCTCAGTTTTTTTTTTTTTTTTTTTTTGTTTTAACTAATTTGAATATTCGGGAATATTTTTTCAGACTTTATTTTTTTTAGATTGAAGCTACTAAATTGGTTCCTATGGGTTTCACAACAGCCACAGAATTTCACCAGAAACGATCAGAAATCATTCAAGTCACCACAGGATCCAAAGAACTTGACAAACTTTTACAAGGTTAAATTCTTTTCTATTTTTATAGTGAATTTCATTTGCATAATTATTTAAAAAAATAAAAAAAAACCCAGGATTTCCATCTTTATTTACATTTTGTTGTCAGGTGGCATTGAAACTGGCTCAATCACAGAAATATTTGGTGAATTTCGAACAGGAAAGACTCAATTATGTCACACATTAGCTGTAACCTGCCAGGTAAGCACATCTACCCACTTTGACCAGTTTAATGAGGATAAAAATGGATATATTTTTCATCAATGTGTCTTAAATTTGAAATTTGCATTACACATTAGAAGAAATGATTAATCCACTTTTAATTATCTAATGAGTCAATTACCTTTACAAACTGCCAAACAGTTTTGAGACAATTTCTGGAGTGTCATTTTAAAGTGACTGCTATAAAAAATTGATCAGCAGGTGCCTTTTTATTGCAGACATTGAATGTAATCTTACAAGGGTAAAATCACAATTTTTGCCCCCCCCCTCCCCCAAAAAAGCATTAAGCAAATTTTCAGATGTTAGCAGCTATGACACTGACAGTAAAATTGTGTATTTAAAGGCTCTAGCTAGGCATAATTTTCTTGGTTTTGAAGAATTGATCTGCTTTATTGCTTGCATAGCTTCCTGTGGACATGGGAGGAGGTGAAGGTAAAGCCCTTTATGTTGATACAGAAGGAACATTCCGTCCCGAGCGTCTTTTGGCCGTGGCTGAAAGGTTAGCTTAACATTCTTATTTTTTTCTTGGATATTTTTAATAACTTAAAAAAAAAAAAAAAAAAAAAAAAAAAAATTATGGATATTTTTCATGATAAAAATCTATAACTAAAGTTTTTCTTCTCTTGTAAAGAAGTTAGACTTTAACTAATGTTTCCACTGTTAATGGCTTCCAGATATGGTCTGTCAGGAAGTGATGTGCTAGATAATGTAGCTTATGCCAGAGCCTACAACAGTGACCACCAAACACAATTGTTGATGCAAGCAGCTGCGATGATGGCAGAGTCCAGGTAAAGTTTTTTTCTATCGATTCATCTATATTAATGTGTAGGAGATTTAATGCTTACAGATGTGGGGAGGGAGTTTCTTAAACTTATACATAAAACCTGATTTGTATGTACTCCAACTGTAAATAATTAGGTAAATTTTTTTTTCTTTATTGTAGATATGCTCTGTTAATTGTTGATAGTGCAACAGCACTTTATCGTACAGATTACAGTGGACGTGGAGAACTCTCTGCTCGACAAATGCATCTTGCCAGGTTTTTGCGAACCCTCCTCAGACTTGCTGATGAGGTAATCACCCTCCCCCCCTCTCTTCCTTGTTTTAAGTTGTGGGAAACAAAAATAATTGATTTCATGATTTTGTAATTTTTCTGATTATAGTTTGGTGTTGCAGTGGTAATTACAAATCAAGTTGTTGCCCAAGTTGATGGAGCTGCCATGTTTTCTGCAGATCCCAAAAAGCCAATTGGTGGAAACATTATTGCTCATGCATCAACTACAAGGTGAGAACAAATATGCAACTTTTCTTGCATTATGACAGCATTAATCTCTAAAGTTATAAGCAAAAAGTTAAAAATGAATGAAATTTTCTTTCCAGGTTGTATCTGCGCAAAGGTCGGGGTGAGACACGAATCTGCAAGATTTATGATTCTCCTTGTCTACCAGAAGCCGAAGCTATGTTTGCCATTAATGCAGATGGCATAGGAGATGCCAAAGACTGACTTTTTTTTTTGTACATATTTCATTCTTTCTGTGTGTATGAAATTTGACTTTCTTTAATGCAGTTCAAGAGAAAAGTAAAGAAAAAGAAATTCCTACTGAACAATGGTAAACTTTTTATTAGTTTCACTTAAAAAAAAAAAATACAAAAAACTTATATTCTGATCACCTGGGCAGCAATATTTTCAATGATAGAGCCATTTTGTGCAGGTTGTTTTTGCATAGTTATGTTCATGCGGGCATAAGTTCCACCAGATTCCCCTTTGGTCAAAGTTCCTGGATTTACACAGCAACAATCATCAACATCCTGTGAATGTGAAGGAATACAAAGATAATTTAGAAGTGGGGGGGGGTGCATCAAGCAGGTGACATGGAATAATAATAAAAAAAAAAAAAAAAAAAAAACACACTTACCAGAACAAAATATCGAAATTGTGATGGTACAATGAGAATATGTGGCTTGAGAGGAAGTTGAAAATACTCAAAGTGATCAAAACTGATCAAGATTTCTTCAGGTGGTGGGTAAAGCGGATAAAAACTGGAATAATAGCAATGGAAAAAGAAAAAAATATCACCATTAACTTTACATGAAGTGTTTCATGGGCATTTGAAAGTGGGGGGACCACAATCTATTAAAGGCCCATAAACAAAAGAGAGCTAATGTTAAAGTGACATTTATTTAAATTTTCAAGTGTCCTTACCTTTGTTGAGAAAATAAATGATGAATGATACGTTTGAAGCGGTTCGTATGAACTGTACTGTAAAAAAGAAAATCAATTGTTTCAATTTCTTGGAGGAAACTAGAATTTTAATAATAAAATCTGGTTTTATTATGCAAAGCCAATACTCGAACTAGAAAATTTTTGCTTAATGAGAGATAAAAAGCAAAATCTTTTCAACCTGAATAGATCATGAGAATTTACAGAAATCAGGTGTGAAATTAAGAATAAAAAATTGTCACACGAACCTGGAATGAACTTCCGAATTACTTATGTGGAAAATGACATCCGTAGATGTGATCCCAAACAAGATCCCATTGATATTCAATAAACTTGGGTTAGAAACAAAATGCATAAACTGAAAAGAACAAATTTCATAGTAATAAAAATCTAAGCTAGAGAATGGATTGTTGATCATAAACCTCACACCTTGAATCATTAGAAAGTTTCAACATTTTTAATAAATCTCTTCAATCTTCATATTTTTTTTTCTACATAAAGTAAAGAGTTCATTTATTTTGTATGATTTCTATTTTTAAAGTGATGGCTAATAATTTAATCTGCAGGAAGGAAAAATGCAAACATCACTTTTTTTTTATTAGCCAAATCTCTGAAATTAACTTTTCACCAGAACTATGTAAAGAAAAAAAAAGGTACATCATAGATATAAGTTAATGATGCTCTAAGTTAATTTCATCAGAATTTAATTTACAAATTAATGAAGAAGTTCACCTTGCTCCGGTTTTCACTCTCAAATGGTGGTTGGGGATAAGTTGCAATACTGTGAATATCTCTGTGAGATGGAACCAAAATCATGTGACAACGAAGCCTGTAAGAAAAATAGTAAACAAACATTTTTTTCCACCCAACTTTGGTCAAAAGTTTTTTTGCTAGGAGTACAGAATTAAATTGTGTAACAGGCAACATAATCCATCAGTTACAATTACAACTCCAAATAAAACCAATTGAAGGCAGTAAGAAAGAAAAAAAGTTTTATTCTATCAAGAGAAACTTTCACTCATTTTATTTCAAACTGTAAAAAGCCACCTTAAGAGAAAAGAATTATGAATTTTCCTAAAAAAACAGCAGAATAATCAAAACAATGGCAACTACGTTTTTTTTTCTTTGTTCAGTAAATTTAAGAAAACAAACTTGAAGCGAATTAAACTAGTAATGGTTACACTAGCTTATTCCATGACAATCAAGAATCTGTTTCATTCTGTGATTTTTCTTAACTAACTTATTTTGGTAAATTTGGTTAATGGTTGAAATTGGTGACCTATTAAATTTTTCCTGTGATAAAAATTAACTAACCAAGACTTTCTACTTAAAAATAAAATGAAGTAATCACTAACACCAATGCAAGCTTAATTGTGATAGAAAATTATTTGGATATATTGTTTTGTTTAATAAAAAAACCTTTTCATTAGGTTTTTTCTTTTTAATCAAAAATCAAGGATTTAAATTCATATCAAAACTAAAGTGAAAGACATTCATTATTTGACAACATTGAAAATGAAAATTCTTGTAAATGCAAAAAACAGTAAAAATTGAAACCAAATTCAACTCACTGCTCAGCAACATTTTGTATTCCTTGGGTCAATCGGTCAAACATTTTCTTGTAAGTTTCACCACTCAAATTCTAGAATTGAGAAAAACGTTTTTTAAACCATGTCAATGCTACCAAGTAACAAGCACTAATAAAAGATGGGGAAATAGAGTAGTTTACTTACAGCAATTCCTTCATGTTCATCATCAATGAATGGACCAAGCTGGAAAACAAAATCATTTTTTGATTAACTAACATTTGTGTAATAAAATAGAAATTGTTAAATGCATCACCAGCAAACAAGTTATTGTAAGTTATTCAGTTTTGATTAATTGACATACAAGGACATTTTGTTAGCTGTATCTTAACACAAACATCTTGTAGCATAACTAGCAAATGACTTGCATCCATCCATATTGTTTTAAATATCAACTTATTAAAATCTCAGGATGGTGAGGTTTTCACTTCTGTTGTTTTGCAAATTTGAAAACCATGTGAAGCATTTATATTTCAATGTGAAAATGTATCAGTCAAAATAAAAAAAAAAAAAAATATGACTAGTGTTTTGAAAAAATTAAAAAGGTGAAGTACAAAATTATTTATAAGTTTAATTATCAGAAATGAAATTACAAGTAAAATATAAAATTCATGTTAGAAAAAGTAAATTTGAAAATTGAGAGCCCATCATAGGATAACATACAGGTCTGGTGATATGAGAATAACTGACAGGAAAGACATGCAGACTTGCAAATGCTCAAGCTAAGGTAAAAGGAGGTCCCAATTAGAGCAAGAAAAAAAAATATGGGAAAACTACCATCCAAAACAATCCAACTACTGTTACATGAACAAAGACCATGCATAAGTGGGATATATAATCGATGGAACGGATCATCATTGCCACCACTACCAAATTGCTATGAAAAACTGGAGATCAGACAATGAAATTCTTATTGTGGGACTGTATAGTGTGGAGGTGAAAGAAATAGAAAAGAAAATTTCATATGGAGCAAGAAAGATTTAACAGGAGGTGGAAAGAGGATGGCAAAAAAATGTACATAGCATCACCATTCTCATGCCATGCAGATTTAGCACAGACTGCCTTCTCCAAACAGCCAATTATTCATATCTACACTAGACACACTATAGTCATGATCTTTTTTGTTTGATTCTCATATACAACTCATTCCTCAAAATAATCCAATCTTTCTGATCTCCATTTATGAAAGGTGAATAATACACATTTTGATTGTAATTGAATATTTTATTTTAGAGAATATTGATAGAATATTTTGTCAACACCAACTCTTACTAGGTGAAGTTTTACTACAACTTTTTAAAATTTGTATAAAAAAAAACCTTACCAGAATGCAAAAATGGGGTTTCTCCTCTCGACAGATGTTAAGAAGTTCGGTCAAAGGTTCAAACATAAGACTATCTGTGGTAAGGAATGGGCCAGCAGCCAACATCACATTCAGAGATGAACCTTAAAAAAGAAGACATTATCAACATCATATATACAATAAATAACTTTTAACCAACATAAAAATAATGGACACAAATTAGGAGCCTTACTGTGGCACAATGAACAATATAGTTTGATCTGAAGTGTACACTCCATATTTTCTAGAAATGGTTACATAGAAAAGAATCTGCTGTTATTGATATTAACTATGCTTTAACTTAGTGTAGCAAAAGGTCATATAGAAGAAGCACCCCATGAAGATCAAACTAGTAATGTTCTTTTAGACTAGCTTGCTCCATGACAACCAAGAATCTGTTTTGTTCTGGGATTGATTTTTGTTTACTAAATAAAATACTTTTCAATTTAAAAACATTTTATTGCATACACTTTCAAATAATCTGATGCAAAAAGTCACCTGAGGTGAGCCTTAACTCTTAAAATAATCAGAAATAGAAAGATTGTGAATTGATTCAAATATAAATAAAATGAAAATCCTTTCCTTGAAATAAAAGAAAAAAAGTTCATTAAATGTTTAAATTTAGTCATATATATATATATATATATATATATATATATAAGATCCAATATCTATTAAATCTTTACAACAAAAAAGTTTTTCAGAATTTATACTGCAAACCTTAAAAACAGATTGAAAATACATTGTTGCATAAAGCAAATTGAAAAAAATATTTTTTTTGCTTTTCTTCTAAAGTGGAACAACTTTATTGTATGGGTTCTATACTTTTGGGATTGGATCTAGAGGAATCAGTTGCATTTTATGTAGAATCCAAGTGCTAGGTTTGTTTTTCTAGTTGCATGCAAATGCAAAGCCTTGATTTCATGTAGTTGAACCAAACGATAAAATGTTAAACTAAACTAACTACATCTAAGCTGAATAAGGCTTAGTAAATAACTAGCAAGCATTTATTATTATTCAACTCAAGCATGAAGACCACATAGCAATCCAAATGCTTAGATATCAACCCAAGCTCGCCCTCAGATACAGTATGATAATTGGAGTATGATCTTGAACTACTTTGATAACTCAAAGGACAAATGGAAATTATATTAGCTGTTTTCTTATATGGAAACTTAGCATTCTTTGACCAAGCAGTCAGTACTACTGTCAGTTGAAATTTATAAAATCTTACTATTAAAAACATTTTCAGGAAAATAGGTTTCTCACTTCCACTATCTCTTTCCAGTATTGAGTCACAGTGTGGAAAATCAACATGATTATATCATTGTTTCCTCTTCAAGTTACATGCACTATTTTAATTATTGCTGGTGTTGAAAGTCCTCAAGTGTGATGTGGTTTCTGTTATTACATACAGTTTATTGTTTGTGATACTGTAGCCTCAGCCCATGTGGTTTGAAGAAGGATGGTCCTTCCTAGGATTACAAGGTTCATTTGCTGGAAACAACTTTTTAATCATTGATCAGAGAAAGTGTATAGTTGACAGTTTAGACATTTCTGAACAGGTTGGGTGACATGCATGACATCCATATGAAAGTTTAGATCTGACTAGGTTATTTAAGTACAAGACCAGATTTATTATGTTTCTGTTTAAGATCATTGTTATCCCAACTATGAATGCAGTTGAGTATTTAAGCAACTGCCTACAATGTGAAATATATTTTGGCTTTAAATAACTTGCAAAGGGTTGAACGTCTTTTTTGCATTCTTATGTTGTTCATTTAACCAGTGGATCTATTAACAAGAATGAATCACTTATAGATCAAGTTGAACTTACAGAAAACTCCAATCCATCTGGATAACTGATGTTTCTATATCTCATGACTTTTGCACCTTGTCTGGAAACACAATAATTCTCTACATCTTTTCTTGCAAGAAAAGGTTTAATAAATTAGCAGTACTAATACCAGAAGAAATAGAGATGTGACATACCATAATGTTGAAACATGGTCTCAATATGAACTAAGTAGATCTGACTGTATCAATTGATACAGATTGGATAGTCCCATAAAGTGATGCATGATGCTGCTAATATCTTTCTTTTTTAGATGGAATTTAGTGGATTTCATACCTTGTGATTTATGTTTGGTGTTGAGAAATCAGTCTCAATTCACTTCACAAAGTATGTTGAATAAGTGACACCAAGTGGAAGTGCTGGATTTACTATGGTTTTGTGTATATGCAAAACCTTGTTTATCTATACTTGAACCAAGCAGAATAAATTCTTCAAATAATCTGTAATTTATACATTTAAGTTGAATTAAAACTTGGAAATCAGTCACTAAGTTTTTCATTGTCAATACACTTACCTTGAGCAGGACTTTTAGGAATCAAAGAAGGTAAAAACATTTTTACTCCCTACAAAAAAAAAAAAAAAAAAATGTTGCTATCATGTCCACACAACACATCAACTGAAGGATAAATATTAACCACTTAATATCTTTACCTAGAGCACATATTTAATTACTTTTCAAAATTAATGGTGGATGTAATAGTCTACATATCTATGTCTCACAGTGGAATGATTTTTGTAACTAATATTTTCTCAAGACTTGAGTATTTCTCCTTATTTCTGCCCACCAAATCCAATATGTAGTCAGCAAACAATACAGCACTACACAATTCAGCTAGTGAGGCTGAGGAATTTAAATGAGTTGTAGCCAAACATACAATCCATTGTCATTACAAAATGTCTAAAATTATCTCATTATGAGCTGACTGTGTGACAATTAAGAAGGCACTGATAAATTGGGAAAAAGGCTTTAAAAATAAACTGGAAAACGTGAAAAGAAACGCTGTTTTTCAATAGGCTGAAAGTATATTGATAACAAGGAAAATGAGAGGAAAAGATATTTGTTTTCTTTTCTCTCCCCACCTCGGGAGAGATGCCAACAGTGGCTATCAGAAGCCATCTGCTTTTGGTCAAATTAACATTAAGTGATGCTATTTTAAGTGTCCAATCAACCCCACATGGAGAAATAGAGTGCCGATGAAGGAATAAGATAAAGCGTTAGTAGGCCACACATTGAATGAAGTGGGTAATGGGAAGGAAACTCATGAAGGATAACAGCAAGTCTCTTTGGTCAGTTGATAAGATTTGGATTTTAAGACCGACAAGTTTCTTAAGGAAAACAGGAATGGAATTGTAGTTATATTTCTTTTTTGTCTGCCTATCAATGCAATAAAATTTATTTATTTTTAAAAAAAAAAAAAGGAATTGTCTCTTTTTGTCACTTGTTGACCAAAGAGCTGGCAAGGGGAAGAAACAGGTGACAAATACCTGATGGAACTGACCCCACAAGAACGCGATAAAAACTTCCTGCTGATAGTAATTTTGGATCTCCCCAAACTTGGTCAGGCAATCAATTTCCCAACTACCTCATGCCCTGCACCGGGTTTGTGTAAGGGGTCCATAAATACAGTGAGGTGAGAGACAAGAAGCTCAAAGTGTTGCCAGTTGGTTCAAGATCCACTTTATCAAACCACACGCAGTTTCTGCAGAAAGAACTTTGGCCATGTCCCAGATTACCAAATACAGCTGAATGGTCAGCTTGAAAAAAAAAAAAAAAAAAATCACAGAATAGAAGAAATCAGACTTCAGCCTTGTACCAGTTTACCAAACATGGTGAAACAATGACACAGAGTATTAAGCGTGAAGGTACTGAAAATAGGCTTGTTGTTAATTTAGCGAATAGAACATTCATTGTATGAACCTTTGATATAAAGTTGTTGTGTTACAGCTGTCTCTTACTTTGTTCCTTGTGACACCATCTCACCAAAGCTACTGGATCAGTGACATTGAGTATACAACTTGGCCTTTGCTGCCCTGTGATCTAAAACAAACAACATGAGCAGAGTGGGATTGGGGCAACCAAATCCAAAGCTGGCCATAAGGATCGACCACAGTTCTGTCCAGTGACTGAGGGCTGGATTTTGACATCAACTGATCAAATGAATACAATCAAATTCCATTAAAACTGCATTGTTGTATATCTGACATTTAGGAAATATAATTTTTAAATTTTCTATTTATTTATATTGAAATTTTTGTTCAAATATTCTTGAAAAATTTACTGTTGCATTCATTTCAATAAATAAAGGATTTCTCTAGCAAACAATCAACTGTAATAGAGTTTAGCATTATAATAGTTGGAAATTAGACACCCCATCACATTTTGGTTTACAGTCTCTTTCTCAGGACATAATGGCCTTTCGTGTCCTCAATTCTGAGATCACTTATTGGATTAGAGCTGTTTGGAATAAATAACATTTTTAATTCTTGAAAAGGGAACTGCAATCCTGTGGTCAATATAAGTATAAAGTGAAGACTGATTTTTAGAGATATTTAAACTACTTTCACAACAAATTCATTTTTATGACAAATTCTCAAAATCCAGAAAAAAAACTAGAATTATTCCAAGAACAATTTCAAATATGTTGCTTACCTCATGAATTTTTTTTACCAAAAACCTTTTACCAGTAAGATTGACTCCATCCACAGCTACAATCTAAATGAAAAAAAGAAACTCAATTCCAACTGTACATTATCATCAGGCTAACCTTTTCATAAGGGTTTTCTTATCTAATTCAATCCTAACATTCAACTTCAAGTCTTTCTCAAAAAACTGTAATATGTAATCTTCAACTGCTAAATGAAATTTAAGTCATTGTTTCTATATCTTCTCTCTTTCTCTCAAACACACAATATGGTTTATATTCCAGATTTAAATATTTAATAGACTTTTAAAAAAAAAATTGAGTTTGTATTTTGAACAATGAAAAACAAACAAGTAGACATTGAAGTTAACACCCAGCAAGTCGGTCGGTGATGAGGTGTCTGATGATCTAGATGGCTGAAGTGTTGAAGCTGTCATTGGCAATGAGGGCCGTTTTTATATCTTTGTTAACAGGTATAGGCTCCCAGTGACATCCTTTTGTTTTTTTGCTGAAATTGTTCATGATTGGCTATTGCATTTTTGGATTTTTGTGAGGATTTGAATCTGAGCAGCTGCATAGAAGGCAACTTCTTTTTGTGTTTTGCTTTCTTAGTCCTGACATCTGACAGACATACCTAGTGAAATGTATTTGTGAATCAAAGAGATAAAGTAGTATAGCAGTTTCCCCAGATCTCACTCTGATTCGTATTTATTGATTGAGTGTATGTGGGTATGTGTGTGTGTGGGCAAAGGGGATTATTGCATAATGAAATCCTTGAAATGCCCTTTTCAGAATTTTTGTTTTGTATTTGGGTGGTGTTTGTGAAATATTGTTAGATGTGGAGTCTTGTGTTGTTCCATGCACCACAAAGTGGAGACTATGGTGCCTGACTGGTATGATGTGTGTGACATGTTGGAGAGGGTAGGTTGATGCAAGAAAAATATTTTGGTCGTGGTGTAAGGCAACGAACATGTGCATGGTGGATCCAGTCAGTTTTGACATTTTTGTTTCTGACCTGAATTACCCTATTGTTAGATTTGGTGACGTCGAAGGTACCATAACCAAGGCAGGTGAGACAAAATGAGCAATGGCTGCTTGAGGATGGTAAAGTATTTTCTCATCAACTAGTAATGAGTCCTTGTACACGAGGTGATTCAATGTGAAATTCAGTTTCTGGTCAGCTTCGTTGTTAGTCAAAGCAATGTGTAGGGACTGTTAACACACTGTGAGCTCATAGTGGGTTTATGGGTTGCAAATGTGGTTGGCAGATTTCAGGGTGATTGACATGTTGTTTAGGTCTGTCTGATTTTGTATAATGTGGCATAGTGTTGAAGACAAACTGCTTATCATTGGTGATGAGTGCCATTTTTATATCTTTGTTTTAACAGATATAAGTTCCTAGGGACATACTTTGGAGTAGTAATGTTCATGATTGGCTACTGCATTTTTTGTGTGTGGGGGGAATTTGTTTTGTGGACCAGATGTGATGCTAGGAGCCTCTACATGAAGATGACTTTTTTTATTTTGTGCATTGCTTTCTTTGCACTAACATCCAGGCAACATATCTTTTGAAATGTATTTATGAATTAGAAAGAGATCTTGATTAAGTAGTATAACAGAGCATATACAAGTATAAAAATTAACAAACAACACTATAAAAACAGCCACAAAACTACATTCAGATCCATAATTATTTCCACTCAATAGAGAAACATTATAATATTTTAGAAACATTTAAATTTTCCAATCAAATTATATAGAAAGACATGTTTTTGACACTAAGATGCTGAAAGGGTTAAGAGATAGCCTGATAGCTATACTGAGAAATGAAGCAAGATTTTAAATTCAGAAATTTTTCTTCTTCTGTGAATAAATCCTAAAGGAGGAAGTAGGGCTGACTTCAAGTAAAATGGCTTTATTATTTTGAGGAATTTAGGCAAAAAGGCCATCTGGATAATTTGAACACACAAGGGGTGGAGAGAGATGCTGTAAGAGCTTTTGAAGTTGCCTGAGAATTTTGTTCAAAAGGGCAGAATGAAGACATTGATTTATGACCACTTGCTAAGTTATGGTTTATGGAAAGTCTTCCGATAACTACAGGCATATAAAAGAATCGATGCAGAGATAATATTTTTAAGGTTTTGAGGAACAAAGGTGAATGGATTTATTTCACTTGTCAAAAAGTGTGGAAGGCATAGATGACTAACGAAATGGGATTTCTTTTGACAGGATCTGAACCAGAGTGTCATAAATTGAAACTTGCTAAGAAAGCTGTCAAGGGGACAGCTGGAGTATGTCTGACTGAGAGAATGAGCTTTGGACCAAGGAATTCTGTTGATGAAAATTTTGAGCAATAATTAAAATTAATCATTTAGATCTAAGCCCCGCTTATTCACCTACACAGTTTAAAAATCAAGTTTGTCAAAATGACAGCCAAAGTGAAGGGCTAAGGTGAAATACCTAAGGGGACAGAGGAACTGCCTATCCCCCTTGGGTAGTATTGGCATGAGGTACCAATATGAGAAGGAAGGAGTTAGGATGCCTAGATATTCTGCTACCACTATTAGGAGGATGGATCTCCCCAAAATTGGGCATGCAATTAATTTTCCAGAGTCAGACAACTAAGGACTCTTTGTAAGGGAGGGTTAGGTCCCATCAAACTCCATGCCGCTTTTGAGTGAGAGTCCATATAATCAGAAGATCAAAGCAACTAAAGACAGTAGTTGCTCGAATTGCTGTTGGTGATGAGAGACGACCACTTTAATCTCCTGTAGACTTGCTGCCTGAAGAAAACATCCTACTTAAGCCTTGTTTCAAACTTAAGAAAAGCATCACGTTAATATATAAAGCAGGAAGAGTTGCTAATTCTGCACGACAAAATTGCTTTATGCATGAAACTTATTCCTGTAAGAAGACTTGATAATTGTAATACCAGCTCTGTACAAAGAATGTTATATGAAGACATTTCAAATTTTTTTTTTTTTTTTTAAAAACTAGTGACTTCACTCTGCCCAGAGCAAACCAATACAATGATTCCTTTTGATGATTTGATCCTTGCCAGGCCTTGTGATCAAAATCGAACATAATGTGGTAATGCTTGGATCAAAGTGATCAACTCAATGATCAGCCACAAAGATTGGACATAGGATGGATTGACAAAGAAGAAGGCTATAGTCGAAATGTTACCTTTCAGAATATGTATATTTCAGTCATGTGTGAAACAAAATTATAACCAAATGCCACCTATTGAAAAATGCTTCCAACTTTTTGTAGTGTTTTTCAATAGGTTGCATTTGGACATGATTTTGTTTCACATGACTAAAATTTATGATATTTATACATATTCTGAAATGTTTTACTATATGAACAAGTAGCAATTGGTACAGCTTGGCTGGGATTTTAATTATAATCTCCTGAGCATGCACCTTCATATTACTATTTATTTTAATCTCTATGAAATTCTCCTAATGGAGAGAACTTAAATCCTCTGGAAGCCTGTAAAACAACTTTGATTTGTTCATCAACTATGCCAATTTCTGGGGCAATGGAATCATGATTCTGCCTCAAAGATAGAACAAAATGACATACAAGACAACCCTGCCACTGGGTATTAGATGTATGCTCAGACTGAGGATTATCTGGGATTGAGGTCATGCACTGTTTTTAAGAGCCCGTTGCAAGATTTAATGATCAACTCCTTTTTCTCAAACACTTTACAACCATTTACAATTTTCTTCCACAAAGATTGATTCAACATTTCTCAGCCCTCTGCATCACTATCAAGATAGACTTAAAAAAAAAACAAAAACAAAAAAAAAACCCTTTTTTAAAATTATTTTTTGGTTCGTGTTTCGGACATTTAATACCTGATGGTTTATCACAAAATAACTGTTTATGTACTTTGTTATCTTCTATTCTAGCAAAATGTTCTGCCCATTTCATTTGGTTATGAATGATAAGTTTTTCTATGTTTGATATATTTTACTGAAGCATAGACACCAGTCTTAGAAAGCATACAAGAGAGTTACAGCAAAATAAATAGAAATGGCTGGTGCCAGAATGTTGCCTCTGTTATTAATGAGTATTTGTTCAGAGAGTGAACAAGCTTCCCATATCACAATGTTATTGTTGGAACATTGGCTCTCTAGGTTGACAAAACCATTTTGTAAATTAATTTTACTAAGTTTTACGAAGACTTTCCTAACTAATTCACACCGAGAGAAATTAGACAGAAAAGGCAAAATTTAGGAATATCTCCTCTCCCAACTACCTAACCTCAATTTTACATTTAACACTATTAAGAAGAAGGGTTTTAAAATATTGAATGACATCATATCCTAGTGGAATTTTAGGTGGTCCTTAAAGAAAAAAAAAAAAATAAAATAAAATCTTACTTGTCCTGGGAATAAAGAATAATCTTTGATTTCACTAAGGTCAAGTGGAATACATTTTCCAGCTGAGGTCTCTCTGGAACCTTCCAGAAGAATAGTATGTGCATTTGCTCGGCCCTCATTATCACAACAGATTCGTCCAGCAACAGTGACAACTTCCTGAGTAAATTTAAAACATTTAGCAAAATCATTCTCATGTAAAAAAATGCATTTTTCTTAAACACAAGATTTAAAATAGGTGCAATTTTAAGTTTAGAAGATTATCGACATTACAAAGACATGGCACATCAATTATATAAATTAGAAAGTCCATCTTTGCATCACAAACTAAAAACATTTATATGTGTACACACAATTTAATCTGATTCCAATTTTCATCTTGTAAGCAATAATACATTTATAGGACCCCAATTTTTAATAAGTCAGTGTATATTAAAAACAACAATAAAAAATCCCCCCCCACACACACACACAAAGGGGGGTTGTCTAATACAACAGTTGCAAAAAGCTAACCTTAAATCCTGTGGTGTATTGGTACACTGTGGTCTGGAAATTTGCAAAAAATGAAATTCCTACTCTACCCAAAAGGACTTCATTTCCATAAACTACAGAAAACTTCCAAATCCAAAAAGGTGAAAAGATCTTTTTACCAGAAAAAAGAAAAGTTATGCTTAATTGAAATCTGTGAAATCACAGATGTCGGATAGCTTTTCCAGCACTGTCAGCTGATTTATACAAATTTTACCTGATCTGTTTGTTGAAATTGAAAAATGAAAAAAAAGAAAATCATAGAAACATATTTCTTTCACTTAACTTTAAAGATAGTAGTTAAAGGTATAATATTGAAGTTAATTATGGACTCTCAAAGCTGAAAATATGAAATTAAAAAAAAAAAAAAAAAAAAAGAAGCCATTTTTGGGGAAACTTTTGAAAGAAAAACTTTTTTTACCTAAAAATATTTCTTTTTTTTTGACACAATTTCTATGGATATCAGAAAATATTTCAAAATATCAAAGTCAGACATATATAACTATGCATTTTCTGAAAATATGAAATGAGGAGGCACAGAAAAACTCAGTTTCATCAAATCTGATCTTTGGTATTTCAAATTAATCCATTTCGAAGTTGGGCACATTTAGTTAAAAGGTATCAGCACTCTTGAACTACGAGAATTTATCTGAATAGTCATCAACAAATTTTTGATGCCAAATATGCCTCCAAAACTTAACTGAAGGGTTTATTGACCTAATTCTTACTTAAAAGAATTTAAAAATGTATTTAATTAAAAAGAGAAAAAAAAAAGATTCGAAAGCTCAATTTATGTGAAAAAAAAATCACCAGAAAAATCCTCAAAATTCAACTGACTTTACGTCCAGATTGTCATGAATCTGTTGAAAAGAAGATTCTTGGCAAAAGATGGGATTTTCCTGATGGTACAGGTAAAGTAGGAATGTCCACAACAGGAAACACTCCTCGGTGTATCCTTCATTTTGGTGGAGGAGATATTGCTGCCCAAATGGTTGATGAGTGTTACACACAAATAATACAGTTTGGCGAGCATCTTTCCTTGGTATTATGTCTTTTCTGCTCAAGCAAACAAGTGAATGTGAAGGAGTATGGGAAACTTTGTACAAACTTGTACCTTTTTCTCCTCAAAAGCTTTCCACACCAAGGCCCAAAACCAAAGCCTAGTACTTGGATTAGCATCACACCAGCAGTCCACAAACTTCTAGGACAATCCTGGGAGTTGATCAAGATGCATGGGTCTTTGGATTGGGATGAATCATGTTTGGAAGCAAACAACAAAATTTTGCAATCAATTCATTTGAAACTTTGTGAGGTTTTTCTCACAATCTTCTAATCGAGATGATGTGAAGAATAGATTATAGTTGGGATCCGATCTAATGGTTAACACTGTCCGCTTGAAAGCCCAACCATACTGCAAGCATTGTAATGAATACGGTCATTCCCCAGGTACTGTTTGAATCAAGAGCCCTATGTTTGGTCCACTAAATGATGATAATGCATTATTTGAAAGTTTAGTTGTTTCCACTTGAAGATACTTTGAATAAACTTTAAAAAATAAGAATTTGTTATTTCTGTCTCAATTATTCTATTAAAAATGATGAGTCATGACAAGTCTGGAAATATCTGCCCAAACATGAAAATTCAGTCCCAAATCCCAAATGTTTATCTTTCTTGAAAATTTATTACTTTGTTGTAAAGCACTTATAAAAATGCTTCTAATGAGCCTTCACTGATGTCTGTGTCTTTTCCCAAAATTAAATGGTACCCAATTATGTGTTTTAATGCCTGAATATGGAAATCCAGTCGCAGACCCCCAAAGTTTTGTCTTTTTTGGAATGTTCTTATTTTGCTGTAAAAGCCTCATCAAAATGCTTCTAATGAGCCAATAATTCCCAAAGCTGAATGGCACTCAAATATGTGTTTTTAGGCCTTAATGCCCAAATAAGGAAATTTGGTCCTGGACACCCAAATTTTTATTGTTTTTGTAAATTTCTTATTTAATTGTAAAGGCCTCATCAAAACACTAATGAGCCCTTACTGATATTTATACTTTTTCCATAAGTTGAATCTCATCAAATTATGTGTTTTTGGATCTCAATGGCCAAATATGGAAATTTGGTTCCAGCTCCCACAAATTTTCATTTTTACAAAAATTTTTAATTTTATTGTAAAGGCCTCACCAAAGCGCTTCTAACAAGCCCCAAATCACTAACAGACTATAAGTTAAAGGCAAGTAATGACTAAATTTCCCAAAAAAATGGTTCCCCAGCCAACTGTGTGATACTGGTAATTAGGCTAGTATGCTTGCACCATGGATTGCGGTAGTCTAGCATCTGCCTTGTTATGATAACTACCAATGCAAATATTTCTAATTGAACCAATTCACATTATAATGTTGTACGAGTTACAAAAGTAATAAAACTACTTTTACTTCTTGATTTCACATTAAAACAATATTCAAGAGATTGATTTCACAATTTGCAAAAGTTCTGCTTAGTAAAACACACAAGTAAATTAAATAAATCTTTCGTTCTTGATTTGTAGAGCTATGAGTACATTCACACCAATCATTATTTCTCATAGTAGTGTTAAAGAGTGAGATTTAGGATAACATACAATCTGTATTTCTAATTGAAATTCATTACCATTGTTGGGTTGAATAACAAGATTTAGTATAACATGCAAGTTTTCTTTTCAATAATATGCATTATATGGCATTTTTTTTGTAGTGTTAAGCAACAAAACATTCAAGATGCTATAAAATCTTTATTTCTCATTATAGAATATGCAACTTTTGTTTTCATTCTTACAAGTTGTAAGAATGAAATCATTGTTATTTTCATAAAGATTCATGTTAGTAGTTAATACTAGCAGCATGGCCAGGCATTGCCCGTGCTTGATTCAAAAATCGTACGACTCATACAGCAATCACTATCACTTGACTTAAAATATTTTTGCCCTTCCTTGCCTTTAAAGGAGTGCCCTTTGCCGTGCTGATGTTGCTACATGCCTTACTTCTTGCCTATCTCACACTGCGAATTTTTTCTAAGCTCTATACTAAACATTAAATCTGTTACGAAAAAAGAACTAAACAAAATGAACACAAAATGATCAGCTTTAAAAAAAGACTCATAACTGGAAAAACCGAATGAAAAAGAATGTTAACAACAAATACTTTTTCACACCCAACCCAGTTCTGTGGAATCAGAATCAACGTTGAGTTTAAGCAAGCGAATGTGCCAATAGGAGTAAAGTGCCATGCAGATTTAAATTTTTCCCACTTGTGACGAATGCAGCTATCATTTTATTTTGCATGCTAGTTAACATTCGTGTCAGTCAGCTGTTGGCTCTCAGGCTGGCCAATAGAATCTTCCTGCCTATTCGTGGCAGCCAGCTATAGGCTCTCACTCTGGACAGTAGAAAATGGCTGCAAACTACATGAAAACTGCTGTAGAAGCATGAAAAAAAAAAAAAAAAAAAAAAATCATTTCCACTATCGATGGGAGTTGGGAAATGCAAAGTCAGTCTTGGCCTTCCCGCTAACTTGGAGCATGTGCATGTAAATTTTGGTGCAATTCTGCCAAAAATTGCGGCTGTGCATTCGTTACACACACACACACATCCTGCCTTTTATAGATGAGATTATTATACTCCTCTTGATTTGATAATGATAAAGGTAAGCAAAATAACATTTGTCATAACAGCTTTATTTTATACTTGTAGGAATCTTTATGATAGACATAATTGCTACTGGTGGCCTATGCTAGCCTATATTTTTGGTTGTCTTATACTACAGACATCAGATAATATCATGAAAATTTACTTAGATTCTGGTTCTTGTCTTGTCTGTAGGTCACCTTATTTGTGGAAATATATGATAACCGGTTAAATCAATTAGGTTCTTTCATTTAACAGTAAAAATATTTTCCTACTACAATATATTTGGGAAATAACACATAAAAAGGAAGAAAACAAAAACAATGACAGAAATATTACCAAATGACAAGCAGAAAAAATTATTTTAGTTATTTGTAGAATAGAAGCTTATAGGCAGATTAGGAATTCTTACTTGTTATTGGTACTATAACCTATTACTATTTGTTGCATTATTTGAAGAGGAGGTGGGAACTGTCACTTAAGACTCACTTACCCTACAGATACTATAAATCAAAAGCATATAAAGGAAATGTAGCCGATTGTTGCAGAAATAAAAAATACAGTTGTGCTCCCAACTAATAACTGTTTTACTGATAAAGAAAGTTTGAATGATAAACATTTTGATTTTTGAATAAAAATGAACAAAATCAGACTTAATTATACTTTGAATTTGAAATACATTTTGCAGCTGCATGTAATTATGCCAGTTGCAAAATGTTTTTCAAATTCAATTTATTAAGAAAAAATAGTAATGACTTTCAAAAATGAATAATTTTTATGCTATTTACCTGTGTTGGGCATGAGACATGTCCGAGAGATTCAAATCCATGCAATTCCTGAAGTTTTTCAGACATTTCTTGTATTTGATAGTTAAGAGCTACAAGGGAAATAAAATCCCAAATTAAAAAGACAGCCATTCTGAATGTTATAACTTCTCTTTCCCAACAATCCCAATTTTTTTGATTTCACAGAAATTTTCTTCTTAAAAAATACAAGTTAAAATCATCATCATGTTTTTTGGTTGAGGAAGGAAAAGAATTAATCTTGACAAGGCAAGGTGGGTCCTGTCTGACAGAGTATCTCAGTTTACCTCTCCACACACTCTTGTCACTAGCATCGGGTAGCTATTAGCCCAATTTTCCCGTCCTTCTGAAAAACATACATCCAAATAATCTTGCGCTATCCACTTCTACCCTCACCTCACAGACCCTGTTTGATGGAGGGTCTTCTCCAGGTCCATGAACACCATGCAGACAGGTATTTCTCTTGCAGTTGTCACATGATAAAAATGGTATCTGTAGTGTCACAACCTGACAAAGCAAAACTCCATGTCAGCAATATTGTTCTGTTGCCAAATGAAACTCCATGTCACATATTCAAGCACCTTCATAACTCTGTAGTTACCTGGCAAGAGAGCAACACCTTTTCCTTTGTGGACCAATGATATTTTCTTCCCAGTCAGAGGGAATTCTCCCATTTTGTATAACTGAACCAATGAGATCATGAATGAGAATGGTACCAGCCTCACCAGTGACCTTCAGCATCTCTGCCACTATTTGAGAGGAGTTAGCTGACTTCCCACTTTTCATACTGTCAATGGCCTCAATGACCCACTTTCAGGAGGAGGTTCCTCTGATAGATGGTCAGGATTCTAAGTCATATTCCATATTAGAAAATTGCTCGTAGTGCTCTTTCCAAGTAGCCTTCTTAGCTTCCTCATCCAAGGTAGAGTAGCATTTTCATTTTTGTGGACTGCACTGCCCCATAACATGTCATTCTGATATGCCTTTGAGAAGGCATATACCTTCTAAGTGGTGTTGATCATATCAGACAAAATCTCAGATAGACTGTGGTAGGATCCACTGTGCTTGAGTCAGCACTCCCACACTCAGCTGTGAATGCATCACAGAACTCTTGCTAAACAGCTGGGTCCCTGAGTCTCCATGTCTAAGTGGAGCATAAACTTCTTTTTAACTTGTTGGTTATGTTGACCTTGAATTTCCTTGCCTGGCATGCGTGACATCGACCAGAAGCTACTGCCCAACTGATATGTGATCAAGTGGCTTGCCATCTTCTTGAAGCATGTGTCGCCAATGACTAGGTTGCATGCAACAACTCTGGGGACACAATTACCATCCAGGTTTCTGGTGCCCCAGCCACATCTACTATGCACCATCCCGTAACCTGTAGCTAATTCACCGACATGATTATTCAAATACCCACATTGTATAAGGATTTCTGAGGCAGGGATTTTTTCAACTGCATCCCATAGTTGGTCATAGAAGCAATCCTTATCAGCATCACTTCGACCAACCTTAAGGGTGTACACAGATATGAAGGAGTGGACAGACTTACAAATCACCATCTTCAGGATGAAGATTCTGTCTGAAAAGTGTTGCACCCCAAAAACCTTCTCCACCCATTTCTCTGTCAACAGGACCCCAACAGTTCTGTCCGTTTCCATCCCAGTAGAATTTATAGTGATTGCCCTTGTCAGCGATCATTTATTCTGACAAGTATTAAGGTCACCTTTCCACCAAGTTTGTTGAAGGCAGCAGAGGTCAATACACATACAAGAGATAGCCTCAACTGTCACTGTGGCTTTTTTGATCAGGGTGCCAACATAAGGCTGACACTAACCTCCAGGAAAGTGACTTGTTGCATCGTCTCAGGCTAATGTTCTCATCTGACATGAAGTGGAAAGACTATTGAATCAATTGCTAGGTCAGCTGCTAATAAACTTAGTTCACTAAGTTTGTGCAAAACAATTTTTCTTTCCAGAATATATTATACACATCTATAAGTCTACCATTCACCCAGGTTTAGAATATTGCTGCCACATATGGTCCAGTGCCCCTGCTATTTACCTTGCTCTCCTTCATAAAATCCAAAGATGAATCAGCAATATTATTGGTCTTGATCTGATGGCTCTGCTTCAGTTAATTTCTAACCCCTGTAAGGTTGCCTCCCTGTGCCTTTTTTATACATACTTTCATGTTAATTATTTAGATGATCACTTTGCTATAGTACCTAGACTTTTTTAATTTAAGCCCAGTACTAGACTGGCATAGAGTTCTCAAGTTACAGTTGAGCTGGCTAGCTGTAGCCATAAATTCTATGTTAACAGTTTCTTTTCTCACACTTCTCACTTGTAGAACTCCCTTCCAGCTCCATGCTTTCCAGTCAACTTTAATCTCCAAAGTTTTTAATGCAATTTCAATCAATATCTACTAACCTCCTGATTACTCTTATTAGTAAGGTTTCTGTTCCTAATTCTTCCACATCCCATAGCCCCTTGTGTCTTAGTGGCTTTATTGCCTTACTTGGAATGAAATCAGAAAAAAAAAAAATCCTTAAACTGGATAGGGTTTTACTCCATTTCTAAGGAAACCTAAGGGGGATATTTAAATTTTCATGATCATAAAAATTACACTTGCAAATATTCAAAAAGGATTAATGTCTCAAACTTACTAAAAGAATATAAAACTCACTTTCAGCCTGATTAAATTTCTTTTGGAACATAAACTTGAAGGAACCATTTAATGTCAATGAAGGATCAAACGGTTCCACCAAACATTCATTGTTCGAGTCAGACAAAGTGGCAGCTGATATGTCTCCAAAAGTAAAAACAGATTCCCCAGCATTTTTACGGTCTTTGAATATTCGTGGGGGAGTGGCACTGGAAAGGAAAATATTTAATCACACAAATAAAAACAGACAAATGAAGAATACTAACAAGTTAACATTTTGAAATTAATTTCATGTTAATATGTTAAACTTTTTTAAAATCAAAGTGAATATTTGATTTGTAAAACAAATTTTCTTTGGAGAAAATCTAATGTATAACATTGAATCCAATTCAGCCAATGATTTGCTGCACAAACATGCTCATTGATGCAGCTGTGTTGGCAAAGAAAGTGCTCTTCTGATGTAATTTTCTGGTATGAATGGTCAGTCCACAATCCCCTCAAATGGAAGGAAGGGAAAAAGAAGTGTTATTGTTGTCATGAATTCTGGTTGGATGCAAATGGCTAGTGAACACAAGTATCACCAACAATGCAGTATTCAAATATGACCACATCAAAGATTTTTTATATTTGTCTTATTTACTCCAGAAAGTAATCATCAGCAAAAAATTTAAATTCTTATTTGAACTTAATGGTTTAATAACTGAATCTGATTAAGCTTCTCATCTTTTATTTATTACTTTTGTTGTCAATGCAGAAGCAAAAGGATGTCCTTTTGGGGAGGGAAGGGAGCTACAAACAAAATTGTACAGAAACTAAGCAACTAATTTGAAAATGCATGCCTTTTCTAACTTTGACCAACTACCCTATACTTTTAAAATATATCTACTTTCAATGAAATGAAAAATGATTGACAACTGCTAAATCTTCCTGAAAATGTTGCAATTTAGAAATTTAATTATAGAAAATGAAAATATGATTTTTACCTTTTGGGCGAATACATTTCAGCTCGAATCACTGAGATATTAGCACTCAAAGATCTTTTACCAACAGCACTTTCTGGCGTATGTGGTTTTTTCTTGTCTCTTGGTACCTAAAAAAAAACAAATCACAGGACTTCTACATCAGCACAGAATCATATTCTAAAATATTAAAACCATAGCAACACGCATATTTGAAATTAAGGAAGCATGTTCCTGGCAATTATTTTAGTCTCTATGAAAATATGTATATCATATCTTATTTTTGATAGTTTTCATTTATCATTAAAAAAAAAAAAAAAAAAAAAAAAAAAAGAAAATAAATTTAGAAAAAGAAAATATTTTAGTAGAGATTACAACTGCAGAACAAAAAATGAATGCTCACTTAATGGCTAATGCCTACAAACCTACATAATATATCAAGCTATTTTAAAAATCAAAGGAAAACCCCACAAAATATATAGAAAGAAATAACAGAGGCTCCCAGGAAATAGAGAAGCTACTGATGTAAAACATCATTAAATAACAAAAACATGAAAATAGCACAGCACTTTCAAAACGCACAGAAAAACACAAAAACATACCAATTAACATGAAAAGTAAGAAAAACTGCACCAGCATACAACATCTCCAAAAAAGTAACCTTTACATAGAGGAAAAAATAGTAATAATCACCTTTCCAGAATAATACAAACACTTAAGCAAAAGATCAGGCCATTTCCAAATGCAGGTATGAAAAAAATTCTGTTATACTACTTACAACCACTTTATGACTCATCAGACTAAATTACCTGTGGTGGTGGGGTACTTATTTCTCCCTATAAAGGATGATAACTCAAAATACAATGGTGTCATGTCCCGTGTATGCTGGTGGGAACGCAGTATTTCTGAATCCAACATGATAAGCTGACATGCACATGGAACTCATGATTTAAATCCAATCCTTGCTATTCTCTGGCAGTAAATGTCAGGTAGCCTTCAAAAAAAGTAAAGTTCTTACTTCCTCCTAATCTTTTGCCGACACACTACAACCCATCCATGGATATTTTGGTGGTCTCTGATACTTTCAATTATGGTATCGGAGATGTCATTTCACACATTTTTCCTGATGGCAGTCAAAAGCTAATCCAGATCAGACACTGGCAGAGTGTAATTATAGCCAAACTGAAAAAAAAGCATTAGCAATAGTCTTTGCTATCAAAAAGTTCTACAAAATGCCGTACATGTATCATTTCACTCTGATCATAGATCACAAGCCTCTTGTTAGTATTTTTGGATCTAAAAAGAGGCATCCCAGTGTATACAGCAAACCATCTGTAACAATGAGCTACTATGTGGTTATATTTTATAAAAAATTTATAATTCAACAAATACAACTAATCGTGCCAATGCATTATCTAGGCTCATGACTACACAAAAAGCATCAGAAGACTCAGTCATCACAGCATTATGTCTAGAGCCAGAAGTCACTTCAGTGCTTGCATCCACTGTAAAAGCATTACTAGTCACTTCTACAATGATCCATGAAGCCACAGCTTCTGATCCAGTGTTAAAAAAAAAGGTGATATGCTTTCATTGTACAAAGTGGCCAGAAGTATGCACTGACAAAAGAATTCAGTCATTCTTTCAGTGTCAAAGTTGATGACTGTCTTTTTGTGGAATGCATGATTGCCCCATCTTCATTACATGAAAGAGTGATAAAACAATTCCACTATGGTCATCAAGGTATTAGCCATATGAAATCCCTAGCACACAGCTATGTTTATTGACCAAACATGGACAAGCAGTTGGAGAAATTGGTACACAGGTTCCAATTGCCAACTGGCAGCAAAACCCTAACCATGGAAAACTACACTCAGTTCTTCCTGGCCTATCCCTGAATCACCCTAGTCACATCTTCACATTGATTTCGCTGGACCCATCAAGGGGCAGTATTATCTTTGTTGATGCTTGTAGCAAGTGGCCAGAAATTTTTCAGATGAATTACATCACCTTCAGCTGCATTTTCAACTTTCTGTGCATAGAATGGTATTCAACACATTAGGACACCATCTTTTCATCCAAAATCAAATTGACAAGTTGAGTGTTTTGTAAATACATTTAGGAGAGCACTCCTTGAACTTGAAGAGGAGGCAACCACACAAGAAATATTAAAAAAATTCTTTGGAAATTACAGAGCTAAACCCAATCCAAACGCACCTAATAGAAATTCACCAGCAGAATCACTGATGAACCGTAAAGTTTGTTTGCACATGTCATCCATCCAACTAGAAACTATTCCTTGAAAAGGAAGAACAATTTAACAATCATCATGGAGAAGTGAAATGCAAAGATGTACCAGGACAACCTGTACTTGCAAAAGATTACCACAATGGTAAGAGAAAATGGACCTAAGGACACATTATACGTCACTCTGGAAATGTTAAATATGACGTGGATATACATTCTTCAGTCTAGTTTTGACATGCAAACCAATTACAACCATCAAACCTTCCAGAGACCAAATTAAACTTCACTTTACTGCTGGACATTCTATTGGACACCTTTGAACTGCCTCAACAAAGTTCCCAAGTAATGCCAAGGGACAAAGATAGGACTTCAGCAAAAAGTGCACCAAAGAAATCCTATCGGCTACGAAGTAAGCCATACCTACTGCAATTAAATCACCAACAAAAATCATTCAAGCACAAGGTTAAAAAGCGGGTGTTTTGGGGAGTGTTACTTCTTTCCCCCTATAAAAGATGATAACTCAAAATACAATGGAGTTACATCCATTGTCTGCCGGTGGGAATGCAGCACTTCTGAATCTAACATGGTGATAAGTTGATACACACATGGAACTCACGGTTTAAATCCAAACAAGCCTTGCTGTTCTCAGGCAGTAAATGAATTAAAGTTATTTTATTATATGTTAAAATACACTTTTCTATTATTTTCATTTGTTTTTGTTCATCCCAACAACTCTGGATATAATATTACCTATAATCTAAATCTTAATAAAAAACAAAATAATTAAAATAAGCAAACTCAAGGTCAAGACAAATCCAATACATTATCCGTAAACAAATAAATGGGAAAAACGTTTTCCTCCTTCCTATAATTACCTATGGTTTAAATATAGAGCTGGTACATACAGTAATAACATGATCTGATGATCACTTAAGAAAACTGACAGTCACCATGCAGTGTTTACTTGTATAAAAAACACTTCAATATACAATCCCCTATGAATAAAGATAACTTATTTAATGTTGGCTGTTATTCTTTTATGAAATAGCCTACAGATATTGGAGTTTTTATTTTACTTATTTGTCATTTGTTTATCTATGTGTTCGAATTAATTGCACTAGATTTTGACAAATGAAATGTCAACAGATAACAATGTGGTGCATATGTGGCCACTGTAAGAATTTAATGTTTGTTGATTTAAAAATAATGTTGTTTATAAATTCTTATGTCCTTTGGGAGATTGTATTTGTAACATTAACAGCATTAAATTCTTACATTGGCCAAATGTTTCTCCATAGGGGACCATATATTAAAGCATGTTTATTTATATATATATATATATATATATATATATATATATATATAAATAAAAGGAATACACATCAAAATTTCATTTTAACCATTTAAATGATGTCACCTTGAGGGACTTTAAATTGGTTCAATCAAATAAAAAATAGTGAAATTAAAAAAAACAGTTGTCTTAATATACACAGAACAATCCTTGAAAATGAATATAGCAAAAATTTGAAAGTACTTGGAAAAAATAAATAAAAATATGAACCTTGGTAACATAAAACAACTTATTTGGAAATTTGAGAAATTTAATAAAAATTGATAGACGGAACTTGTGGATTTTATTTACCAAACATGTTTGAAAGAATTATTGCTATTTCCTGTGTTATTATTTTAATCATAAAGTGCCTTGAAGTCCAGGAGAAATTTTGTGGAGTTACTTTCCTTTTCCCACCCATAATATCCTATCAAAACTCTGTGAAGGCCTTTAGGTAAGTCATAGTAATGTCTGCAGTTTAGTGCAGTCTCTTGGCTACTCAAAGATCTGTGAGCTCCCAGATTTCATGAAACATTGTCTATTAAATTTATACTAAATAATTAATTTGTGCTTTGGACAAGTTTTGTCTTTCATTTATTTGCAACTTCAGTTGTAAATTAAATTAGAATTCTTTACTTAATTAGATTTAATCCAATATAATACTTACATGATTTGGAGTCTTCACATTGTACATACTCATAATATCTTCTCTGCAATTACATTAAGGAAAAAATGTCTCTATGGGTATGAAAAAGAAGGAAAAGAAAAAAAAAAGTACCTATCATGTTATCCAGCTATACAAAACCAAATTATGGTGTGAAACAGTACATATGTTGGTTTATTCAAATAACATTAAAAAGTCCACTTCTTTGAGAAGTTTATCCTTGATTTGTTCACAACTTGAAAATGACAAAATGTTGAACATGTTCACCATAGTCTATGAATATAGAATACAGCGCAGTACATAATCTGTTCAATGAAACAACGTTAAAGATTAAGACTCACAAGTCAGACACTCTACTGAATCTGACTATATTGCCAATACCACCAGCAGCTATTCTGTAATTCTTCAGTCTTCGATATCAAAGGCTGGCAGTGCATATTCAGGAAAAACATGGCCGCCTTTATACATGTCGCATTGAATATTTTGAGCCTTCTGATTGGTTAACCCTTTTATTGGTGAACTATAAAATGAGTCAGCTCATTTTGGCTGGCTCACTAGTACACCAGGGTACCCAAAAATTCCAACAGAACAAACAATTTTAGGTTAAACAGATATTAAATATGTGAGTGATAGAGGTATAAAATAATAATAAAAAACAACATTTTAATCAGTAGAAGGTAGAATTTGGTTATGAAGGATACAACCCTGAAGGATCAGTCATAAACACTGGATCAGGATCTTTCTGGATTTGGCTTTTGGGTGGAGCAGATGATTTCTTTGCCAAAACCTAAAAACATATAATTTCAGAAATATTGAAATTATCAGAATTTGGGTTATAGCCCAGTCCCAACATGGAGCAGTAAGTAAAAATGTGACAAAATTAAAATGTAAAGGAAAAGAAAAATGACTCAATGTTTCAAAGAAAAAAACTGTTTTACAAACCAATTTTTTGCTAAAATTTAAAGTATTACAATAAATCAATTCAATAAATCAAATTAATCAAATGCACAAATTCTGCTGAAAATTCCTCTCACCAGTAATAAAAATATTTACAAGACCCTTTTTATTGTATAGAATTTGTCAGAAACAGTTCATTTAAAAAAGATAATTTGTAAATAATCTATAGATAAAAAAACATAACAGTAAAATTATCTTTATATTATAAACCTTTATTTGGAGTTTACAAAAGAGAAATTCTTTTTTTTGTTACAAACCTTACATTTTGCTTTTAAGACATCTAGTACATTTCAATCAGGGATTTATAACTTTATTTTGGCTCTGAAAAGAGCTAGAATACCTCAGGGGTATCCAAAAATCAGTCTTTCTTAAAAAATACAGTTGTCAAGAAACCAAATGCATATATCTTACAGAAAAGTTGCCTCATATCAGGAACTTTTATTCAGGATGAATTGGTTGTTTTTCTTAATGAAATTATCTGCAGTCTGGGATGTTGGAAAAGATTAATTCACATCTGCTTTCTTTGAAATGGAAAAGAAATTTTATTGTTAAATTAAACCTTTATTTTTTTTTTTTTTTAACATCTAAGGGGCACAACCCCTTGAAAGTAAAGTTCTCATTTCATACGAATGTCATCTGTAACAGCCCATAAGATAATGAGCAAAAGACACTGATATTAGTGCTCATTCTCTGAAAATTCAGATGTTTCACCTAAAAGAGGGGCAAAAGCAAATCTAAGCAAAACAAATTGCCTATTTGGGTATATACTTAATAGGAGGTGACCATTTTCTTGTTTTTTTAATATATAAATGCAAACTTTATTTTTATATCAAATTCAGTATACAGATTAATATCCATTTTTTTTTTTTAAAGCTATTTTCATAGGTAAAGATTTGTAAATAAATCTAAATGCTGGGAAAATTTTTTTTAGAAGACAAAATTTATCAAAATAAATAAATCCCAATTCTAATAAAATGCCTCTTCAACAATCCCATTTATACTAAAAAACTAACAAGAATTAAAAATTTATCTAATTCTAAGTATTCTACCTTCATCCAGAGTTACAATATATATATATATATATATAATATATATATATATATATATATATATATATGTTTAAAAATATTGAAGCTAAAATGTTATGCTAACAAAAACAAAAAAAGGATAAAAAAAAAGAAATGAATGAAAAGAGAGAGTAAAGAGAGCGAGTAAGGAAAACGAACGAAAAACAGAAAAGTATAAAAGAAAAGAAAATTACATAGAGAAAGGAAAAGAAATATAGTCCAAACAAACCTCAAAATTACAGGCCAAGTTATTACATATTACACTACATATTATGTTGGCAATATATATTATAATTTCTAGAAGAATGTTTTTACAAGATAAAAATAATTTTTGTTTATTTATTTATTTTTTTTTAAAAGAAAGAAAAAAGTAATGCGGGGGGGGGCAAAAGTTGTACACATACCAAGGCATAGCATCTGTTGTAAGAAACAATTAAATAAACAAAACCAATTTACCTCCCTTTGCAAGATAAGCAGCATCTCAACAGTTGGTTCTGTGGTTGGATCATGATTTTTTGTCATCAGGAAGGCAAGCCAGTGATCATGTAGATCACTAGCTTGAAGATCATATTTCACTGCCAATTCTTGTACTGTAGATATTTAAAGAAAATAAATAAAATAAATCACAAGGAAGTTTCCTAGACATCATTTAGAACAGAAAAAAGTATTAGATACAAAAAAGGGAAATTCCATTCTACACCTAAAATGTCATAGATCTTCATAGGCTGTGTTAAAATGCTACTTTAATCTCACTTGTTTTATGATGTTAAATTTTTTTATCAATTTATAACCAATCTTAATTTGATCAATAAATTCAGAAATGAACATCCAAAGTGGGTAGAGTGAACTTGGACAGACACTGGTGATTCGTATTTGGTGCAGCATTCTAGCTATATCAATTGTGTTTTAGAAGAGCTGACTTAGAACTCCTAGTTTGTCAAAGTTCTCATACAGTAATTTATTCAGACTATAAAATTCAAATTAACTTAAGTAATCCTAAGTCTAAAGTGGTTGATTACTGGATTACTTTGTTTATATGAATCTGATGAGGTTTTACTCTTCATCTAGCAACAAAAGGGAAGAAACTTATGCTGCTTAGGAGGCATGCCTGGGTAATGAAGCTACAGGAACAAAAGGCAGGAACAAAAATAAAAGTATGGTTTCTAAATCTTTGTATCATATTTTACTGCAAGTGGTTTTTCTCACCAATTTGGGGGTAGCTTTGTACAAAAAAGAATGATGCTATAAAATATGTCCAGGATGATGCCCAGTACTGCAATATTTTACTATGGTAGACCAACTAGTATCTGCTCAGAAGCTAAGGTCGCATTACATGAGCTATATGAAAAAAATCATGTTTTTCACAAAAAAATTTAGGGGTTGTACTGTACATTAAGTAGGCTTCTACAAGAGTATATACAGTATGTCAAATGATTGTTATCGTGGATTGTTTTACCTTTCACAACAAAAGTATTTTCAGGGATTATAAGAAGATCCATCACAGCCTGCAAGCAGTTTACTATGACCTTCACCAAAATCTTTAACTGTGTCTAATATAGTTAAGGGAGGAAAATTACTAATCTTGCCCTCACTATGTTCGTGTGTTAGAACTTCAAACCCCTGGGGAAATGAAGAATAACTAGCAGTCTTCTTGATAAGCATGGAAGCCAGTTTTGTACTACTTTGCCTATATCTCCTGATTTTACAGCCCTATCTACTCTAAATTCAAGCATGTTTTGTGTCAATATTTTATCTAAGTTGGTGGGTATAATTGGCAGCAAAAGACCTAATGGTACTTTTGAGATAGCCCCACTGCTTATTCCCAACAAGAGCCCTATAACTTCTGCTTTAGTGTATGTATCAGCTAGTCCCAGAAATACTCCTCACCTCATCTGGTTCAGTCCCAGCGTCCAGCTTAAGAAGAATTGGTTAAAGGTATTGAAGAAGTTGAAAGTCACAGTTAATCTGTGATTTCAAAAGAATCTTTCTTTAAAGCAGAAGACAGATGTTACAGAATGTGAAGGCCAGTGCCAGGATGGTCAGCAATTGGTCAGAATACATTGGAAATGTGGTATTCTGATAGTGATGGATTTGTCTGGGTTTTGGTTATGTCGAAAACAGCACAAATTCAACAGAGATCTGCAAGAATTTTGAAGCATTGATATGCTTCCCAGGTCCAGGCAGGCTAAGACCACATGTGGAGGTATACTAAGCCAATGAGTGACATGCATTCCCTCAAAGTCCTTCCTTCCATTGCCTCTTAGAATCCATGCTGCCTTGTCTGTCCCTCTCCTCTAATAAAAACAAGTAAGAAAAAGAATGTCTTTTTGTTAATATCATCTATGCAGTAACATTGGGATCCAGTGATGACATGAAATGCAACAGTTTTGTGCACTTTGCATATTTACTCCCTCATTCTTAACTGGTTCTCAGTACTGGTGATTCAAAGAGTGCTCAGAGTTAGCAAAACGTCTTTCACAGTGAGATGCTAATTTTTCAGAATGTATCTTGTGAATATGATTAACAGAGTGGCATCTTCAGGTAAATGGGTAGGAATTTTGCTTCCCTGTGAGACTTGTTACAGTACAATTCATTTAATTGAGTATAGATTTGTTTTTCTTTTGTTAAAATTAACTTAGGCTAGCAAATGTACGCTCACTGTTACTGTTTTAATTTTTTCTAGTTTCACACATTTCCATTTTACCTCCCCTGTCAGGTAGAGTTTTTCAGTGATATGAATATACCAAGAGAATATGAAATTTTGGTGACTGCTGCATGAAAAAGTTCAAATAAATGCAAAGTTATAGTGAAAGGAATAATAAATAAATAAATAATAATAATAAAGAATCGTTGTGTCAGTGAATGCAACAAGCTAAATCAGGAAAGTGAAAATCTGAAAAAGAACATCTCTTTCCCCCAATTTTCTGCTTTGTGCCACATATTTTGTGGTATATAATCATTTTTTTATTTTGTGGCAATAAAATTATTTCTGGCAAGAAGCAAAACAAATAATTTGCAGCAAACTAGTCATTTGTGTCAATGATCCTAGCCCAAGTACTAATACTACAGGTGAGGAATTTAACTACTGCAAAAAATTACAATTAAAAATCTCTAGATTATTGAAACAACATATCTCACTTATTAAAACACATTTTAATTTAATAACATTTCAGAAGCAAGCAAGGAGAATAATAATAAAGAATTTGAAAATATTAAAAAAAAAAAAAAAAAAAAAAAAAAATTTTTTCATAAAGATTTTTGAAAATAAATGAATATGTTTTTCATCATCAAAGTCTACAACACATTTTAATTAAAAAAAAAAAAAAAAAATCACTAACAAAACTCCAAGCCAAATAATTTACTTTCATTTTATTTTTTCTATTTTTCAATTTGGAGTAAATGAGACATTTATATTCTCTCACAAGTTTGGTTATAGAGATTACTGGCAGCTCTACAAAAGTGTACTTAACAAGAGTATCTCCTCTCTTCAATCAATTTTAAGTGTTGCATTTACTACAGATAAAGCAGAGCGTTTTGCCCAGAAATTATCTTCCAACTCCACTCTAGACTCATCTGGAGTATCTCAGATTGATTTTTCCCGCTAGAATAGGGTCTCTACTGAATGACATGAACATAACTCTGTTCATGGTTTATGCTATCATTTCTAACTAGATCCCAGCAAAGCCTGCAGATTCAACAGTATTCCTGCAATTGTGCTAAAGAAATGTGCTCCTGAACTATAGCTCTCTCTCTCTCCAAACTTTACAATGCCCCACTACTTCTTGTTTTCTAGTTTGAAGTCGTCATCTCTAGTTCATGTTTTTAAGAACTCTGAGAAAACATCTGACTCTTTGAATTATCTGCCTATTAGTCTTGTATGTCTTTTTAGCAAAGTATTAGAAGCTTTAATCAATGCCAAATTGGTTAATCCTCTTACTTGACACAACTCTTTTGGATAAACAATACAGCTTCCATTTCTCCAGGTCTACTGCTGATGTTTCAACACCAACACAACTTGTCTATAAAGCTTTTGATAAGAAAGGCGAAACTTGGAATGGGGTCTTAGATATCTCAAAAGTAAGATTGTGGAGAAAGCCAGTACGCCAAACTCTCTAACAGAGTTTGGCGTACTGGCTTTCTCCACAATCTCAAGGGCTACAGTTACTCTGGACAAATATTTGGCCCAATACAATACAATTATTCCTAACAAATTGTGTAATGAAGGTTGTGTTGAATGTATATGCTCATAGTTCATTTTATATTGATGCAGAGATCTCCTAGGGTTCTACACTGTTTCTGATCTTCGTCAATGACCTTCCCAATATCATCACTTTCCAACTAGGTATCTCTACAGATTAAACAAATATTTGCTCCTGTTTTAGCAGCAAGTCTGACAAAGTTAAACTGGCAACTGCTCTCAAAAAGGACCTCCAATTAGTGATTAAATGAGACAAGGAATGGTTTTTAAATTTTAATGGCTCCAAAACAAAACTGCTTTCATTTAATTACCACAGAAGTTTTACTGCCTGCCATCAGTGTGGCTGATGATAATCCATTTTTTCAGAGAAAATAAGCTGTGACAAAATAACTTTTGTCATTTTTGTGATGATTTTTACTTGATAGACAATTTTTTACCATAGCAAACTTGAATTAACTTTATTTAAGTTTAGTGGGGCTATATAGGAAACCTCAAACAGCTGTGCTAGGTCTACTGCTAGAAAAATTGGTTCACTGTGTCATGCCAGACAATTCTTCTTGCAGATTTATAAATCTATCATTTATTGGTGCATTGAATACTGTTATCATACCTGGTCTGGTGCTCCTACTATATGTCTTTAGATTCTTGAAAAAAATTCAAAGGATCCTAATGTGAAATCTCAGCTTCAGTTACTTTCTTAAAAATAATTTTCATAATTTTTTCTTATAAAGTACCATAACCCTAAATTCATTCATAAATACATCAAATACAACAGTGAAAAATAATGTGTTCAGGTTTTAAATAATCAGAAATGATTTCTAAAAATTATGAAAATATTTATTACCGAAATCATAAAATGCCTGTTCCAACATTTTATCTCAATTATATTAAGAATTTTACAAATGTACAAACATTTTTTACTTTGTCTTTTTTAACACCATTTTCATTATCTTCTCTACCCAATTATTTTTTATGTATCACAGCTTAATTAGATTTGTTTAAATTAACTTTCCAAGAAAAATTAATAAAGTTAAAGCTTCTTTCTAGATGTATATTAAAAGAAGTACCACCACGGAAAATGCAATACCTAAAGTTTAAAATGAATTTTTAAAAAATAAAAAAGCTTTAAAGCTTTTATTTTAGTTTTAATTTCAAGTTAATAGATTAAATTTAATATTTCCAATAAGCAAAATACTTTGCTGATTTGAAAAAATATTGTTTTTTGCTAAAATAGCTAATTAGAACCCTTTTTTAGTAGTCTTTCAATACAATGTAAGTCACTTTAAAATTTTTTTTCCAAAACTTAAATATACTTTTCAGAAATTTTATTTGAGGAATATTAGCTGATTTAAACTAATATCTAGTTACTTCTGAAAGATCGCTAAAAAAAAAAAAAAAAAAAGAAAAAAAAAGAAGAAAAGAGTATAGCATGAATAAAAAGGGCCTTAAACTTGATGAAAATAATAACTAAGTGGAAAAATCAAAGCATTTTGAGGGTATTTTTTTTAATTTTTTTTTAATCATTTCTAGCAGGTTCGAAATTTTTGTTAAAAATCTTGTTTTATTGAGTCAGCAAAATTGACAGATAATCATGTCAATCATTTTTTTCCATTTTATAAAAAAAAAAAAAAAAAAAATTATGAAAAACTCAGTTTCAAATTCTTTTAAAAATCAATTACAATTTTTTCAAAATTTATTTTAAGAAAATTAGAAATTATAAAGTTTATTTAAAATATTTTGAAACAAGCATTGCTTAGTTTCTGCCCCAAAAAGATGTAATTCAAAATATAAGACAAAGCATGTCATAACATTTGGTGTCACTTGATGGGTGATGACTGTTGATTTCATCACATATTGACAGCTTACGTAAAGGAAAAATTACCATATGGAAGAAAGGAAAGAAGTGACATAATTATTTAGTTTTAAGTGAAACAATTTACCTTGTTATTTTAAGGAAAACTTTCAGTGTTTTAATATATATATATATATATATATATATATATATATATATATATATATATATATATATTTTTTTGTACTTAGTTTTCACCTTTATGTTTACGATGCTTTATGGAAAATATATAAAAAATTAAAATGAGACTGTTGAGAGTGAGATTAAATTTCATAAGAAAGCTATCTAATTAATTTATAGGTACCTTTCTTATGAAATTTTATCAGAAGTATACATAAAATACTATAATTTTTTGTACATCTATTACATTTTACTGTGTTATTTGTATTTCCATTCATTTTATTATTAACTTTGTTATTTCATTTAGGGAAAAATGTCATAACTGAGATTAATATAAAAATAAGGTCATATAAATTTCATAAGATGTACCCTTTTCAGGGGAAATTGAAAAATCAAATTAACTTCTCCACACGTTTTGCAAAAACAAAGGCCCTAACAGTGGATAATGCTTAACTCAAATAACGTGACTTTATTGTTTTCATGTATGGTCTTCCATACATTTGAATTAGAAAAGCCACACAAAAAAAAAGCCATGTGTAATTAGTTTTTATAGCGTTTGGCTCTTCTGATTGTTTAAAATGCTAAAAGATAGATCTATTTAATTACACCAGTGACTAAACTGAATGCCGTTTTCACTAATTTTAGAAAATCTAACAACTTTGGTGTAAAAATAATAAAATAATTTAAGAAATAACAAATAATTGTTTTAAAAATTCATTTTTCATGGAAAAAGTTTTTTTGCTTTCAGACAATATTATCCATATTCATAAAAGCAACTAAAGCATTTGAAATTAAATAATATCTTTGTTTTATTGAGTTTTGCATGTTACAATTCAGAGTTGATTTTCAGGTAGGGTGGGTCCAATTAGAAAAAAAGAACAAAACAAAAAAAAAAACATGATTTGCCTTCCACAAAGCCTTGTGTTTTTAACTAATATAATCACTAAACTGAATAGTATTGAATTTCTAGAGTTTTCATAAAATTATTTATTGGGGGGGGGGGATTAAATATAAAAAAAAAAAACAAACAATTATTTCCATCATTTGTGAATAGTTTCTGAAAGTTGCATTAACATCCGATAATTATTTTTATTTTTGCAAATTAATGTCTGTACAAAAAAAAAAAAAAGGATGTGCTAAAATTTTATGTTATCTAATTTAGTAGTTCTGCTGATACAAAGAGAAACAAGTATTTTTTTTTTTAATCAAAAGTTAGAATGTTCTAAAAAGAAGGAAAAATTGTTAAAAAATAATTAAAAAATACTTTCTTTCCTCTTAATAAGAAACATTTAGATTTTAGATGATAAAATTGTTTTTTGTCAAGTTTGGCATTTTTTTTTCATCATGCTATGTTCTGTTTTTAGTGATCTCTCGGAGGTACTTAAATCCTGATTTGAAACAACTATTATTTACTGTAAGATTAAGATATCGCAGAAATGCATTTTTTTAGCCTGACAGTAGCTGTTTAAGCTGTTGACAGTTTAATGACAAATGTTTGTTTATCTAATGTTGTTCTGGGGGGAGTCTTCAGCCATTAAAAATATAATTGAATGTAATGTGAGCAACTTTTATATATAATTTTTAAAAGTATGCAGAAATCTTAAAAATTTAGGAAAATATTCGCCATAATCTGTTTCACTGAATTTTAGAAATTTTGGCTTTAAAGTTTAAATTTACTATAATTACCGCTCTTATTGTTTTATAATGTCGTACATGGGCGCCTGTATCTACAAAAATCAGCACGTTTATAAACATACAAATAAATAAATAAATAAATAAATAAAAATTCTTTTAAAAATATTCATAGTGTTTGTAGTTTGTTTGATGATCTGTACTAAGCTTTTCCATTTATGATTAATAAATGTAGTTTTTAAAAGGGTGGAATACAGAATTTTTAAACTATTATTAATTTAAAAAAAAAAAAAAAAAAAAAAAAAAAAAAAGCAATTAAAAGCTTTTCTAATTAAAAATAATGTCAGTTATTACATGGCATTTTTTTATTTTACGATTCAGAGCAAATTTTCGGTAAAAATGGGGGTTTGTTTCTCCTTGACAAAAACAGAGGATTTTTAAATACTCCAAGGAGTTCTGCTTTAAAAATTTAAACTATTAACAATTAACACGAAGGAGAAAATTTCATTTCATGAAAAATGTCATAAAATTAAAAAAAAAATTTTTTACCAAGATTTTCTAAAAAGATAATTTCAAACAAAATTTCATTCATTTGTGAATACGTCCTGAATATTTCATTAAAATCCAACAATTATTTGATTTTTTCAAGAATTTCCAAGACAATGTGTTTTTTTACTGAAAAAAGAACAAAAAAAAAAAAAAAAGACACGTCCTATAGTAAAATTCTGGTCTACGCAAAAAAACAAAGAAAACAAGGTTTTTAAGTTTAAACCAAAATTTCGAACGTGCTAGTAAGCATTTAAAAATTTAAAATAATAATAATAAAAAAATACTTTGGTCTTTCCTCCTTTAATTTTAAACATTTTGATATTTTTTTTTTCTTTTTTAAATCAAGTTTGGGACCTTTTTTCATCATGGTATGCTATTTTGTAGCAAATTTTGGAGGTAACTACATTAAAAAAAACATCTTATTCTCTCAAGCCCTAAATATCCTACTTATTTTGAGTTTGACAAAAAAATAGAAATCACATTTTTAATGCCCAACCATTTTTTTTTTTTTTTTTTTTAAAAACAAAAAAATCTTAAACTGAAAAGTAAATCCCTTAAAAAAAGGGTACAATTTCAAATTTTTAAGTAAAAAAAAAAAAAAACAACTTTATTTTTAATTTTAAACTGATAGATTCGTCTGAAATAAAACAGAAATAAAGATTTTTTTAATTCAAATTTATTTGTTAATCTGTTGTTTTGACTCGAGATTAGATGGTTACTTTCCTTTCAAAGTTGTAAAAAATAGAATATTGTAATGTAAATAAAACTTGTAACTTAGTTTTAAGATTAAAAAAAATGATATCGTTTTCTAATATTACATTTTCTTTTTATTTTAATATTTGAATTCAAAATGTTTACTAGTTTTAAGCAAAATTTTAAAAAAATCTATTTACGCGTTTTCTGAAACAGAAAATCCGAGAAAACAAAGTATTCCGAGATTAACTTACATTTTTCGATTACATCCAGATTTTTTTCTGACAGTTGAAATTTAGATTTAAAGTCCTCGAAAATAACTTTTTCTTCCAACATATTTGTTACCAGTAAAAAAACATGAAAATGTATTTAATGGCGAGAAGTTCAATCCAATTTCCCGCGTAATTCACTGCGGGTTTATCGTCAGTTTGAGTTGAAATAAATATAAGTGGGATTAACATTAAAAAAAAAAAAAAAGCAACGATTTGAAATACTAAATAAATTTATTATAATTTAATAAATCGATTTCTATTTTCTCTCCTGTATAAATTCGACGTTTATTTTTCAGTCATGTTACGCAGCAAAAATGACTCGACATGTTGATGTGAAGTGCACTGGTTAACGAGACGATTTGATATTTATTTATCTTTGTACCTTACTGAAAAAGTAATACCTAAGGTTTAAATAGCATTTTAAAAATGAAAATTCGGTAAATTTGCTTTTTAAGACCTGCGCTAAATATCTATTAAAAAATTCTCAAATCATTTTATTTCTGTGTAAAAAATTGACATGCTGAACTCGAAAATAACAATTGAATTTTGATAAAATCTACTGTTTTGGAGTTATCGACAATAAAAATTGGGACTCAGTCGCATTCAGCCGTCGGCCATTACTGACCTTGTTTAACTACATTCACTGCGAAACATTTTGTGCGCGTAAGCTTAATTAACGGCTTTTTACTGCTCTTAAACTTAACTGATCTTACTCGTCTAAATTACTGCGCACTTGTGTCGAAAAGCAATGACAGAATTGCTCCACAAAAGCGAATCAATGTAAATTTGGGAAAATCTCAGATTAAAAAAACATGTTAGTATGTAGCAACAGAGACAGTGCATTATATGAACACATGATGCAAGAACAAGAATTGAATTTACAAAAAGCAATAAAAAAAGGTCAAAGTGTGGAAGAAACCAGAAGACAGTCAAAAATAATAAATATTTCATCAGAAACAAAATATCTCTGCAATATATGACTGGAAGAAAATGGCACCAAAATCAAAACCAGATTCCAAAATAAAAAAAATGGCTACTACAAGGCAATAAGATGAAAAGCCTGTGAAAAAAGAACAACTGGATAAACTTCCACGGGTACTGTTCAGGTTCACACAACAAAAATAACTATCCAGCATTTTACAAAATATGTAAGAATTACAGAAAAAAAGGGGCACTTTGCTAAAATGTGCATGTTGCGGCCGCCTTTGGCCACTCCCTAAAACAAAAGAGAACAGGGCATTTCAATTTTGACCTTTCGATCTTATTCCCTACATGCTGGTAATTTCGTTTTAGGGATGAGCTAATTACCTTTTAGTTCGTTGGTATTACGAACCTAGTCGTAATATACTTCTAAGCATTTTTAGACCTTAGTTTTTGCATAGCAAATCTCGACTCATTTTTTTAGAGAGATTTTATAGCATCTTAGTGAGACCATTTCTGTTGTTAGTCTCCTGTAGCATAACACAGCGACTTCTCGCTGAATTGCTGGTAGGCGCTTGAACGGTCGGTACGCAGACTCCTGGCCTTTTGTGGCCAGGACGCCAACCAGGGCTGCATATTAATTTACGCTCCCATTTTTTTTTGTCTGCCAACTGGATGCAAGTTGGAACTACCTTTCTTTCTCTCTTTACTTCGCTTTCTTTACTTCTGGTTCCTTGCCCATGTTTGACTCTAGGCATTCCATCCCTACTGGCTGCCCGCACATCATCTGTAACCTTTCTCGTACACTGCGGTTATGATTATTACGGGAGGTTTCGATATCAGACTCGACCAGCAGACATACAATGCCAGTACCGGATATTTGATATGCCCAACAACATCGCAATGCCAGCTACCTGTTCCTTCCCGACATGTCCTGTTCGAAACCAGACCAGCCGATCAGCAGCAATCATCTGCGACGAGCAACATCGATCACCTGCTACGACCAACCAACCTTTCCCGTATACTATCGGTTGTAATTACTACGGGAGGTTTCGACACTGACCTTGATGAGCAATGTCTGTACTGCAACGTCCAACCGTCGACACGACCAGAATGCCTGCATCTCAACTCCAATTTCATATTGCGCCCCCCTCCAGGGGGTCCGCTACATGCACATCCAAGAAAAAGAATTTACATAAAATAAAAACATCCAGCAGCACAGAAATGTCAAACCACAAGGTGTATGACATGGAGACCATTAAAAAAAAAAAGAACATAAATTCAGTAGACCAGAATTGATGGACAATCAATCTTGGAATGAATGAATCATCGATAACATTTAGAATAGACACAGGTGTGGAAGTGAACATATTACCTGTGAGAATATGTAAAAATATTAGTCCAAAACCAAAATTACATAGAATATCTGTAAAACTAAATGCTTATAATAATATGAACATTCCAGTCATAAGAAGTTCCACAGCAACTCTACACAACAAAAAAATCAAAATTATTAACACACTTCATAGTGGCAAAAAGCAATTCAAATGCAGTCTTCAACATGAAAGCATCTGAAAAACTAAAGCTAATAAAAAAATTTCAAAAATAAATAAAAAAGACTTTTATTAGAGGAATATGAAGACTGTTTTGGAGTGATGGGCAAATTACTGTTTACGCACCATGCACCTCATAACTGTAAATCCAGAAATAACACCCATCCAGGGAACATTACATTTGGTATGAAACCAAAAGGAACTGGAAAACATGATAAAAATGGGAATAATAAAACTCCTTAGTAATAGTAGAAAAACCAAACGGCAAATCACAGTTATGCTTAAACTTGAGAGACTTGAATAAAGCAATAAAATGAGAGCACTTCAAGCTACCTACAGCAGAAGACATATTTACGGAAATTAATAATCTGAATTACTTTACAAAATTAGATGCATTGAATGGATATTGGCACATACTTGTGAACAAAGAATGTTCAAAACTCCTAACATTCAATTCATCATTTGGAAGATACTCTTTTACTTGCTTGTCTTATGGGATACACAGTGCAAGTGAGGTATTCCAAGTTCAAATAGCAAAAATAATAGAAGGAATACAAGGAACAAGGAATTCCCAAGACAACATAATAATATGGTCGGACACCCTTGAGGAGCACATAAAAATACTAAATCAAGTCTTCAGTCAACTACAAAAGTCAGGCCTAAAATTAAGTAAATCAAAATGCAAGTTTGCATCACTATGAGATTTTATTAAAATCTGTGCAAAAGCCAGCTAAAAGTGGATCACAGTGATATTCTTGTATAAAACCAGCTCCATACGTATTTTCCAAGAATTTGCTTGCTGATTGGTTCATAAACAAGGAAGTAGGATGCCATCCACTGATGCACATCTATTTTTCATCTCATGATTGAGTTAAATATTTTGGCACCAATTTCCTGGAGCCTATCATGTGTCAACTGAAGTAGATAAATTCAATAAACTCATCTCACTAGTGAGCATTGTGACCACAAACCAGTTGATAAACAAATCCACGTCACTTTATCATCTGAAGTTTTCAAGTTACTTTTTAGTATAATTCAAACATTCAGACATTCACTCACTCACTTTCATACTCAACTTCATTTATTTCACAGCAAAGTATTGCTTATCACTGCAAGTTCTCAATCACAGAACATTTGATCATCTTCTGATTTATCATAAACAGCCCAATATTATTTCTGGACAAAAATACAGCCAAAGGAAGATAACTTTTACCACAACTTTATTTACGCAAAAATTATATTTGAATTTTACATCACACAAAACTGTTTAATTTCAACATAAACTTTCACTGACATTGTGAAAATTTTATCTCAACAAATTCAATGCACAATCTTTTACTTGAACTCACAAACTACATTCCACAAACATAAAAAAGAGTTTTAAAAAAGATTCAAACACCACAAAGATTTCATTCACAAATCTTAATTTACTCCAGTATAAATCATTGTATTTCTTATGCTTTATAAATGAAAAGTTGTTTGTTAATATATAATATTGTTGTGTGTTTTTTCTCATTTTGTTCATTGCTTTGTTACTCATTGGAGAAATAACTAAAAGTGTTGAGTATTCATATTTCTTTGAACACACAACCGTTTTCACTCTACAAGTGATAAACCCCAATGTTGCATTGGATAACCTATCTTCTACAATATCTCTAAATTGAACAAAAAATGTTTTCTGTAAAACTGTAAAATAGATACTGCCATGAATTTCATGAAGACTAAAGAGAATAAACAGAAATACTTTTCCTTTCTACAGGAAGAGGCAATAAACAATTGCCTAGATTTGTGGTTCTCAACCATTTTAACCAATGCACCTTTTCACTTTAAGTTAGAATGTCATTCCTTCAAGATTGTCCAATTCAAAAGGTGCATTCCATATATTAATGAAAGTATTCATTCTTTTCCATATTAGTAAATATATATGGATTATTTTTACTGAACAATTTTTATAAAGGTTGCTTCAACTTTGTTGGTTCCAAAGCCTTGTAATAAAATACACACTGAGGCCTTTTTTCTCCATTAATAATGATGAATGTGAATCTATACTAAATATAAAATTCATCATACCATCTTTTTTTTATACTGATAATGGGCTCCAAATTAAATAAAAATAAAGAACAAATAAAACAAAAAAAAAATTAATATATGCTTTCCTCCAACCTGAAACCTTGAAATTTCCTCTGAGAGGATTCACCTCTGGTTAAGAACCCCTGGTCTAGAGACTGCAGATTCTACTACTGATCAAATCAATTATATTTACATTGATAGAGATTTGGAGATGAAAGAAATAAAAAATGATACAATTAGTGAGAGAGAATATCATTTCAATATAATGGGGGTTTGGCTGAGTTAGCTTATCATTTTAAGCAAAATTCTAATTTCTGGAATTATGGACCCAAATGGTGGATTATCAGCCTGTTATCAATCTTGTCAGTAGTTTAGATTTTTGAGTTATGATAATGAGAAAACTCTTCATTCTGAATTTGAAAATTCTGAGATTAAAATTTCTGATGCTCTTAGTGATACTCCTAATGTAGTTACTGAAACATCAAATGATGTCACTGAAAATTTGAATACTTGTAAAGCT